GGATGGTTTGGTTGGAGCAATTAAGAAGAAGGTTTTGTGGTGGCTTATGGGCAATGGGTAGGGGAAATGTATATATAGGGGAGATGTGGAGTGGGAGTCTTGCTCGTAGTTTGGTATATCTATATATATTCCATCATCATCGGCTGAACAAACAAGCACCTAGTTCACCCAATCACCCATATTCCATCTACTTCCACAAGTCAAAATCAAAATCAAGGCCTAAGAATTTTGATTCATTAGGTAAACTCATTTCGTTTAACTGGACGAGTTGAACATAGTTTAACGAAATGAATCTTTTTATGCACTGTTTCTTAGGTTGAAAAAATTAACTTCCAACTTCTTCTAATTCTTTACTGTTTTTTCCAACTCCTTATTGTTTCTTCAAACTCATTCCAGCTTCTTCTAACGACTTAAAAAGTATTTATATATGTATTAATATGGAGTAAAATAACATCACATATCCAAATTTAATTATTACATATCACCTCAAACACGGATAATGATGAATTCTTTTTCATGCAAAATTAAAAGACTTTGCTAGCTCCACCATTATAGCCGAGAAATAAGTGGATCGCTTCCCAACCAAAGAAACCTATGCGTGCAAGTGATCATATATCATAGAAGGTTTGTCCTCCGATCCGCGCAGCACAGTCGTCAAGGATATATGATTAGAGTAAATGACTAGGTGTAAAGTCATACTAGCTAGCTATATTATACTCCCTCCGTCTCATAAAACATGGGATGTTTTGTTTTTTGAAAAGATTTAAGGGGAGTGTATTTTGGTATTGAATTTCCAAAAATGTCTTTTGATGTGATGGGTAAAAGTAGGATTTGATGGGTAGATTATTAGTAAAAAGGTACGATGTGATAGGTAGGGTATGAAAAAGTAAGGGGTAAAAGTGATTTTTTAACATAAATGAGAAATGTTTTATGGGACGGATGAAAAAAGAAAGGAGAAAGGTTTTATGGGACGGAGGGAGTAAATATTATTGATGCAAATAGGAGATATAGAGTACTCCCTCCATCCCAAAAAGAATGGGACAGTTTGACTTTTTAGGAAATTAAGGGAGGGATATTTTGGTATTGACTTTCCAAAAATACCCTTGATGTGATGGGTAAAAGTAGGATGTGATGGGTAGATTATTAGAATAAAGGTATGATGTGATAGGTAGGGTATGAAAAAGTAAGAAGTAAAAGTGGTTTTTAATAGAAATGTAACAGACTTTATGGGACGGAGTTTTTTCTAAACGTAACAAACTTTTTGGGACGGAGGGAGTACATTATATCAGATAATATTCGATAATATTATGACTTCAGGGATTTTAGAACAAAGAATTGGTTGGCAATAAGGTCCAAGAGATAACTTTTTATTTTGGTAGGGAGGCATTGTATCAGATAAATTAAACCCCCGCCCCCTCGGCAAAGTGCCGATAAAGACCTCTAATATACTTCCTCAAGTCTTCACTTAGCTTCTTCTGTCGAAAAGAGAATGAAGCTTTCAAATTTTTTCACTGAAATTATTTGAATGCTTATTTTAGATGAAATTCATTATTGTATTTTTTTTCTCTTTCCCAAATAGATTTACACTCTTCACTATCTCAATTTCTGGTAATTTTTATTTATTTTTAAGTTTTTATTGATTATATGTGAAAATAATTTTTTTTTACCTTTTATTTTGTAATACTTTTGACGTAGTTTTCAAATTTGAAAGTTTATTTTTTATTTATATACCAATCTTTGAAAAAATAAATTAAAAAAACTTAAAAGTAATAAGTTTATTGCACCAACATCCAATATGGTTTGGTATATGTGTATTGTTACATCCAATGGTTTCAAAACTTAAGTTTATTTTTCTTTTTTTATAAAGAGAAAAAATGTGTGTGTGTGAAATAATGAAAAATTATTTTTTGCAACCTACAGTTTTTTAAAAAGTTTTAAAAAAAAAAAAAAATTGTGTTTGAAATAAAAAATTTAACATATACTTCATTTGTCAAATTAATTATTTTCATTTTTTTTCTAAAAGTTTTTATCTTTTGGAATATATCGGGACAAAAAATAAAATTAAGTAACATCATTTTAATCTATAGTAAATTATATATTAATAACATTTTCTGGATCAATGCTTCCTTCATGACTTAATTTTCTCTATAAGTATTTTTAAATAGACTTCTTTTTCTTTATTTTCTTTTCTATTCTTTTTTCTTTTATTTTAATTTTGATTAAAATAAAAAAATGATATAAAAATTAATGAACACAAAATGAAAAATGAGCTTTTTTCTAAAAAAAAATATTTCATAAGTTTTCGTATCAGGAAAATGAAGCAATAATGGCATCTTTTGGTTAAAAAATAAAAATTTTAAATTTGAGATAAATGAAATGTACATTAATTCTTGTTATTTAATCGATTTTTATTGCAAACACAAAAAAATCGATTATAACATTATAAAAAATAATTTTATAAAAAGAAAAAAATTATAGAAAAAACAAAAGCAATAAAGAAAAGAGAGGCATTTGTCCAAATTTCCAAAGCCATACGACACATGATATTTGAAGGACATTTTATTCTAGAGAGGCATTGGAGTGGCAATATCAGAACCATGAGAAGCAACGACGTAAATTTTGAAACCATAAAGAATAACGATAATGGTGCAATGAACTCTACAAATAATATTCAAATACTTCCTGAACAGATATGTCTCGTCGAATTTCTTCTATAAATATGGATACATAGCGGTAGTTTTGATATGTAGAAGATCACATACTCATTCTTATGTTTTAACCAATTAAAGAAATTTAGAATACAACGGAAATTACTTTGATCTCAAAGTGGTTTTTCACGATTCGTAAGTTCATCAAGTCAAATTTCGTTCTATATCCATACTCCAAGTTCGATATATTTCACCAAGATCTCCACCTGAGCCTTTCTCCAGAGAAAGGCTGACAGAACACAATGTCCAAAGAGCAGAAGATCATCGTGTGAAGTTCCAACCCAGATTTCACGGACAATGCTGTTACAAAAACCACCCAACACAAAAACCACAACTCATTGCTCATGCACACTGGGGCAAAGTCAACCACAACTCACAGGAACAACTCTTTCATCAGCAAAATGAACAAAAACAAGAACCATTAGATGTTACTGTCATGGTAATGTTAAATACTTTCCAAAGAAAAACTAGAACAACCACCATCATCAACAAAAACTCAGCAAATCTCACAGTGGGTTCTAAAGAGGTGTCAGCAGACTTAACCCAGAAGGACAGAGGGTAAAAACTAGAACCACCATCAAACTGCATAAATTTTGATGCAAACAATATACTTCCTGTCTTCCTCCGTCCCTTTTTCTTTCTCCCATGACTGAAGTTGTTTTTAAATCAGTATATTGAAACATTGGTGTAATATTAAAGAAGTTAAATTTTATATATTTAAAAACTAAATCAAAAGATCTATGAAACAAGAGACAAATACAAAGGACTAAAGGGGGGTAACAATTACTTTCTTGAGTAGTGAGTGCAATCTGTTAGGGAGCAAACCAATTACCACATCGGAAGTGGAAAAACAAATTTTATCAAGATAAAAAGGTTCAACCCAACTCCATTAGTATGATACCTTTTGGGAAGTGCCAAAAAGCAAATATGTTGCTTAGCAAAATCGAACAGTGTCATACTAATGCATAGTTTGGGTGAGCCGGTGAGGTACACCCAATCTCAAAACAATCCTACTCCATGGAAACAACCTAACATACATTACTATCTATATGCTGATAATGAAATCATGAAACACCTGTGGTTATGTTTGTAATCTCATTAGTTGTCAGATCATTCACGTCACTGCAATCAATAAGCTCAAGAACTCCCGTGAAAGTACATTTATTTCTAAAAACGAATCAATCAACAATGGCAAATTCAATAGCCTCCTTTCCCGGAAGATCATAGTATGCTTCATTATTTCCTTTTCAATCCTTAAACACATACATTTCATACAAGCTGCAGCCTATGCCCAATATCACAAACAAAATCACATATAATTTCTATCAAGATGCACCTTTCCATGACAGGAAACGTGATTTTCGAATTAATAGAAACGTTAAAGTGTGAAATCATAAGACGGAAACAGAAAAGAACACTTATTTATTTCTATATTGCAAAGATGTAATCAGAAATTTAACAATTTTGAGTTTCGGGCTAGCTCGAGGGTACCGTAGCGGAGTAGAGGCGGAGGAACTGGTCACGCCGCTCCAGGTATCGGCGCCTGAGGAAATTCTCAAGGATCTCCATGACGGAGATGAACCGCTTCATCTCCTCGAGTTTCTGGCTGAGGTCGGCTTCTCTGGCCCTGGCTCGCTCCAGCCGAGCCTCCGTCTCCGCCAGCCGGTCCCGGAGGTCGTATAATACTGCTGCGTTCTCGTTCGCCGCGGCTGTGGCAGATCGAGATCGGGAGGTTAACGCCTCCTTCGACGGTAATCGTTGACCGCCGTAACACATCTCTGCTTCAAACAAATCCTATTCCAGCGATCGACGCACTGTTGCTATGCCGTCCCCCCACCGTCCACTTGCTAATGATTTCCCCTCTTTTTTCTACTTCTTTTTACTCTCTCCCACTCATACTAGAATTGGACTAAATTTTTAAGAGGGGCGTCTAAAATGACATTAGTTACTTATACATCAGTTGCTTACACTAGTTCGTTTGGAGTATCTACGGTGCTCCATTTGTAAAAATGACGGTTCCTACCCCCCTCCTAACCCTCCGTTTGTAAAAATGACCGTAGGTACCTCAAACGAACTGGTGTAAGCAAATAACGCCAGTAGCACTGGTGTCATTTTAGACTTACCGATTTTTAAAATAGTATTCAATAATTTTGTGTATTTTCAAATTAGTTTTCAAAATTAACTAATTTCCAAGATGATACTCATTAATTAAAAATAATACTCAGTTCAATACCCTGATTAACGGTCATTAAAACGGTGTTAAAATAACATTAAACTTTATACTATTTTCTCAGAATGATGCTTTCTAACTCAGTGTTTTCTCAAATGTGTTCATTTTCAAAATAAAAATACTTTAATTTTAGAAAAATATTTTAAATTATATAGGATGAAAATAAAACACTTAAAACTATAAATATAATTTTATAAATTTAAAAATAAATATTTTTTGATTATTTATAATTATTTAGAAGAATAACATGTAAATAAAATGTGTAATAATCGTTAAAAAAATCATCTTAAATAGAAATAAAACATAAAGGAAGTACCAAGGTTGGAGCTCTCTATTTGTTTAATATAATATTCTTTAAAATAATGGTAAATAATCTAAAATGTTACTTTCAGATTTATATAATTATATTTATATATAGTTTTTAGTATTATATTATCATCCTATGAAATTTAAAATATTTTTTCAATAATTAATATATTTTTATTTCAAAAGTGGACCAATTTGAGAAAACGCACCGTTAGTAAGTACCATTTTGGAAAAGTAGTATAAGGTTTAATCTTTTTAACGTCATTTTAACAGCTGTTAGTCGGAGGGACTGAATTAAGCATTATTCTAATTTATCGATTATCATTTCGGGAATTAGTTACTTTCGAGGACTAATTTAGGAAATCGCATAGTTCTAAAGTACGTACCATTCTCCAAATTTACTCTTACAATTAAGTCGTTCAACTCATTCATTTCTTATTTTTATAATGGGAGGGTAGGAAATCGAGCATGAAATCTATACAGCTACTTATTTTTTTATTAAAATCAGATAAAATTAAATTAAAATAACTTTAAATACCTCCTTTGTCCGGAAAAGAACTTTCCATTCTATGCTTTTTTTGTCTGCAAATAAACTTCTCAATCTAACTTTTTACACTCACTCTTCCTAAAATACCCCTTCTTCCTCTTTTCCTTTCCTTCTTCCTCTTTTTTTCTTTCTCCCCTCTCTTCTAGGCAGATCTGGCCACCCCTTCCCCTTTTTTTCTTTCTCTCGTGGTTCTTTCTCTCTCTTCCTCCTCTCCGGTCTCCATTATGTTTCTTATTCTATTGGTTTTCTTTTCCATTTCTTCCTCCTCCCCTTTTCAGGCGATCAATCTCTCCCCCCCCCCCTTCTTTTTCTTCTTTCTCCCCTTTCCTTTCTCACATGGCCATCATCTTCTCTCTCTCTCTTCCCTTCCCCTTCTTTTTCTTAATCTCATTCTTTCCGATCAGATCTACGTGCAGTGATTGGATTTTATCTCCTTGTAGATCTATGGTTGAGGGAGGCTCTTTCTTTACAATTGCCAGTTGCCAAGTATGGCGGGGTTGGTGCAATGGTTAGGGTGGTGGGGGTTGGGCGACGGTTGGAGTGTTGGGGTGGTGGGGGCTAGGCGGTGGTTGGAGTGGTAGTGGTGTTGAGACGAAAAACAAGCTCAAGAGGAGCAGGGGTATTCTGGGCAATGCAGGTCTTTAGTCAACTCATATTAAAAATAGAGAATAGTCAAATTGGGAAGTTTAATTATGGTCGGTGGGAGTATAAATATAGTCAAATTAAATTAGGTCAGATGAATGGAACACATTCTTAATCTTCACAATTTTAAAGTTGACCAATAATATTGTTTACAATTGTTTTCTCTGGGAAAATTAATGTCATACGGAGTATTTTAAATAACATGTAAAATTTGATCTTTTCAAAATGATATTATTCACGATATATAAATACGTATAAAAATAAAAAGTATAATTTGTATATTTACAAACTATATCAAAAGTTCTATAAAAGAAGTGGTGACATATTTTTTATGACCAAATAGCTCCAATGTTCTCTGTAATTTGAAAAATTGACATCAATACCTCTTTTATTTTCAAAACTTATTTCTAAAATTTCCGTAGTTTAAAAATGTTACACCCACACCCTCTCTGACCATTTCTTGGATATTTTCTGGCGAAGAGGAGACATTGGTACCTATTATTCAAACCATCGAGGGGGCGCTTGCGTATGTCTTATTTCTTAGTTTCATACCAATTGTTAAATAAATTGTATTGAAAATAAATTCAACCAAACCTCGTAAAAATAGACGATTTAAATTGTGATAGAAAGAGTATTGTATATTGACATTTTTTTACATAAAAGGTCATATTTGATATATAAATATTTAAAAAGCACATTTTAATATATGAATCATGTTTTAGTCTTAACTAAGTAGTTAAATAAAGAGTGTATGTTCTACAATTTTATCCTTGTAACAAATTTGAATCATTCATCTTTTACTCTACCCAATGCCCATGGTTGAGAAGTTTTGGTATCTTGGTTTGGTTTCAGGATAATGGAGAGTTGAACGGGGATGTTGTGCACCGTGTTGAAGCAGCTTGGGCAATGTAGAGGTTGGCTTCAGGAGTTGTCTGATTAGATCAAAAGTAAGTTCTATCAGTCCGTAGTTAGGGCAGCTATGTTGTATGATGTAGAATGATGAGTAGTTAAGAAGATCCACGTTAGTCGGCTGCATGCGAGGACATGTAAGACCATAGTTTTAAGAATCAGACCAGCCGGTTTAGACCGTAAACCAGCGATCCCGTTGATATGCGTGTCGTAGCACCTACAAATTAATTTATTATTTTCATTAACTCTGAACTCCCTTTATGAATTAATATTAATTAAATATTAATTTATTATTTTCCTTCTTCATGTCGGTATAATTTCCTCGGTTTGCTGCTGTGTTTTTATTGGATTTTTCTCACTTTTGAGTGAAGATTATTGTTGTTTGGTGTTCCAAGTTGTTGCTTGATGATTGTGTATACCTCTAATTGATTTAGAGAGAATTCTTAGCTGTACCCACTGATTTTTTGTGGTGATTAGTGGAAGGCTTCGTGGTTTTTTCCCGGTTTGGGGTTTCCACGTTATATCTTGGTGTTCGTTTATTGTTAGATTGATTGCTTGTTGTCGTGTTTACTATTCTTGATCAGTCATATGATTTTGCCCATTTTGACAACACAAAGACGGGAAAATTATTAATTGATTCTGCTAGAAAGCTGAGGTGATTTTCCCAACAATTGGTATCGAAGCTTGAGTTATATATTTGGGTGATTTTCTTGCGTTGTTAAAATGGAGGATAAATCTGTTTTTGGAGGAATGATCAAATTGAACTCCTCCAATTTATAAAGTTGGAAACCCAAGATTGAGGATATTTTATATATTAAGGATTTGCATGAACCGATCTTGAATAAGGAGATGCCAAGCGGTAAACAAGAAGGTACTTTGAAAGTGCTTAATCGGAAAATTATGGGAATGATTAGGCAATTTATTGATGATAGTGTGTTTCAGCATCTTGCTAATGATACCAACGCCTATGAACTATGGGAGAAACTCAAATGCATGTATGAGAGAGAAAATTCCCTGAATAAAGCCTCTATTATGAGAAGACTTGTGAAACTTGAGTATAGGGATGGGCATAGTGTGGTATAGAATTTGAATGATTTTCAAGGATTGATGAACCAGTTGTCTTTTATGAAATTGGTTTTAGATGATGAGTTGCAGGCGTTGTTGCTCCTCAGCTCGTTTCCAGAAAGCTGGGAGACCTTGGTTGTATCACTTAGCAATTCTGCTCCAGAGGGTAAGCTCACAATGGATGTTGTGATCTGAAGTCGAGTATGCTGAATGAAGAAGCTAGGAGAAGAGATCTGAGTTCCTCCAGCTATTCAGATCAGGCTCATGTTGCTGAGGTAGAGGGTCGTGTTAGACACAGACATAGAGATTTTGAATCCAGGGGGAGATCTAAATCAAGAAACGAAGTGAAATGCTTCTATTGTGATAAACCGGGTCATAAGATATCTCGGTGCAGGAGGATGAAGAGAGATAAAGCCCAGCAAAAAGAGGAAAATGGTCAGACTTCTGAGAAGAAAGAGGAGAAAGACACAGCAACCCTTAGCTTGTAGATGCATATGATTTATTCTTTGTGTGCAATGACACTAGCTTTGATGTTGCTTTTCAGGACTGCACTTGGATTATTGATTCGGGTGCCTCATGTCATCTCACACATCATCAAGATTTCTTCTCATCTTACACTAGCGGTGACTTTGGCTATGTCAAGATGGGGAAGGGTGAGAAGTCACCTAAGATTATTGGGATGGACACTGTTTGTTTGAAGACTAACACTGGTTGCAGGTTGACCCTCAGAGATGTCAGACATGTTCCAGAGTTTCGGTTCAACCTCATTTCAGGTGGAGGCCTTAATGAGGATGGTTATGCTAGCCGCCTTGGTGAAGGAAAGTGGAAGCTCACCAAAGGTTCTTTGATCGTGGCTCGAGGTAAGATAGAGAACAGGATTTACGTGATGCAAGAAAAAATGTGCAAAGGAGATCAGAATACTGCTAGGGGTGTAAATGGATAACCGAAAATCCGATTACCGTTTGCATCCGTATTCGTTTAAATGGAAAAAATCTGCATTCGTTTTAAACGGATATTATCCGTATCCGATTAAGCACATCCGATTGATAAACGGATGCGGATTTGGTAATTACAAATCCGATCCGTTTAAAATCCGATCCGTGTATACATTCATTTATATATCCGCATATCCGATTATCCGATCCGTTATATCGAATATAGGTAATAAAAAATTATCCGTAGTTAAAAAAATATATCCGTAGTTTAGACTAATTAATATGATTATGTATACTCCTAGTCCTAGTTTTCTAATTTCTACCCAACCCACTAAGCCCTAAATGGCCCAAAACCTAAATACTAGCTCCGTCCTAGAGTATTTGTCCACTTTCATTTTTACACACCATCCAATACACTTCTTTAATCCATTTTATATTGTAATTTGTATATTAAAAAATTATAGAAATTATATATTAATAATCTATATGTTAAGACAAATCAAACAAGATCACACATGACTATATTTAGGCTTACACATTGTGAGAATTTGATGAGTCAAAGTGCTTAGATGAATAGTTCCAAAAGTCAAAACTGGACGAATACTTTGGGACGGAGGGAGTACATACCTAATACTTTTTTTCCGGAACCAGGCATCCACTCCATCCAGCAAGGCAGCGACCAAGTGATGAACTGACCTAGCGGCGTCTTCCTCAGCTATTTTTCGAATCCGGCAACCAGCGGCAGCGTCGCAGCGACCATTTCAGCACCTCAATCCTTAGCATCATCATCTACTCTCTTCTTTGATTTTAGGTACAAACTCTCAATTATACGGATTCGGACTCGGATTTTTTATTAGTCGGATGCTTCATCGAATACGGATATATCCGAATCCGCATCTGTATCCGCCGGATTCGGATTCGGATTTAGAATTGTAGACATCTGTCGGATACGGATGCGGATTCGGTTAACGGTTTTGCTAATCGAATTCGGATACGGTTATAGTACATCCGAAACGGATATTATCCGTTTACACCCCTAAATACTGCGCCCTCCACAGAGAGATCACACAAGAGGCTTGATCACATGCTTGAGATTTGTTAGAGTATCCTCCTTGAAGGTGACATTCCTTTTCCTACCATTCAATTAGATCATGGGGGAGAAGATGGAGAGCAATATTGTGGTGATGATGTTGCTCGTGATGGTGATGTACTAGAGCCACCTCGTATTGAGCATGGAGTTCCGCCACAGAGGGATCCTCAAAAGCTTAAATTTGAGAGAGTTTGCTACTGGGAAGAAGTGAAGAACGTGCACCAAAGTGAACGATTTCAAGCCAAGTGAGATGGGGTTATATCCTTTCTTGATGGACGTGGTCATTCCCTGGTAAAGTTGCATGGAAGCAAGCGAGCACCCAAGAGCAATTGGGTGTTCAAGTTGAAGAGAAAAGAGCATTGCTTACAACCCACGGACTTGGCGCAGTTGGTTGTGAAAGGTTTGTTTGATACTCCCTCCGTCCCAAAAAACCTTTCTCCTTTCTTTTTTCACCCGTCCCAAAAAACACTTCTCATTTCTATTAAAAAGTCACTTTTACCCCTTACTTTTTCATACCCTACCTATCACATGATACCTTTTTACTAATAATCTATCCATCAAATCATACTTTTACCCATCACATAAAAGGACATTTTTGGAAATTCAATACCAAAATACACTTCCCTTAAATCACTCTTCAAAACCAAAACTCTCATGTTTTCCGGGACGGAGGGAGTATATTTCATCATTGAGTTTTACTCCCCCATGTAGGAGTAAGGGGAAGATTTGTTGGGTATCCCTCCTACATGAAGGAAGGAGTTCCTAAATAATAGATTTGGTATTAAAAATGTAATTGGTTTAGAGGTAATTATAATAATAATAATAATACGGAGTATTTATTACTCCCTCCGTCCTAAAACTTTCTTCCCAGAACACTATTCCAACTTTACGAGAATTTATATTTATTTGTGTTTTTTCATGGCCTATATGATAAATAAAATATTCTTGTCACCACTTGTTTTGTTGAACTTTTGATGTAGTTTTTAAATATGTATGTTTTATTTTTTATTTCTATACCAATATTTAAATAAAATAGATTGAAAAAACTTGGGATTTTTCTTTGTTTTGCGAATCGGGAAGAAAGATATAGGACGGAGGGAGTATTTTATTATAAAAAAGAAAACAAAAAAAGGGGGTCAAAGTGGGGCTGCCACTTTTTTGAAAGGCAATAGCCTTTTGTGGCTGTTCACGGGTAGAAAGGAAATAGCAGCAGCCGAGAAACAGAAAGAAAAGAGAGAGAGCCGAGAGAAGGAAGAAGAGAGAGAGAGGTGCAGCCTGATTTTGTGCTCCGATCGACGACCAAACGAGCTCTGATCGGGATGAAGTTTTAGTATGTTGTTCCTAAACTCCTCTTCTTCATATCCAACGGTGGGATTATTGTTTTGACTTCTCTATGTCGGTATAATTTTCTCTATTTGGTGCAACGTTTTTATTAGGGATTTCTCACTTTTGAGTGAAGATTATTGTTATTTGGTGTTCTAAGTTATTACTTGATGATTGTGTATACCTCTAATTGATTTAGAGAGGATTCTTGGTTGTACCCACTGATTTTTCGTGGTGATTAGTGGAAGGCTTTGTGGTTTTTTCCCTGGTTTGGAGTTTCCACGTTAAATCTTGGTGTTCGTTTATCGTTTGATTGATTGCTTGTTGTCGTGTTTACTATTCTTGATCGGTCATATGATTTTGCTCATTTTGACAACACAAAGACGGGAAAATTATTAATTGCTTCTGCTAAAAAAATTGAAGTGATTTTCCCAACAATCCTAATTGAAATACATCCCTCTTAATACATGCTTTCAAATGTGTCCACCATAGATCTTCCCAGACACTATTTACAGGGTCAAACTTTACTCACTTTGTTTGCTCAATTTTATTAGTCATTTCATAAAATAATATAGTCTTGTCACTTCTACTTTTGTAGAACTTTTCATGTAGTTTATTACTATATAAATTTTATTTTAAAATTTTACTCCTATAATCAATTAAATTGAATTGAAAATAAAGTCGGTATTTTAAAATTTTACTCTTATAATCAATTAAATTGAATTGAAAATAAAGTCGGTCAAGCCTCGTAACGCGTAATGGGATACTTAGAATTCAAAATGAAAATGAGCTTGAAATGCTAAAGTGATTTGAAACTCCTCGTACGTTTTGAGCGAACTGTTCCCGGCTTTGCTCTCATTGCTTTTTTTTTTCTTTCTTTAGATTATATTGAATTTTATCAATCCCAAGTCAATTCAAAATCTCTTCGCGCAAATATCAACAGTGAGATGGAGTTGGGGGCTCAGGCGGCAACTATTAATTTCCCGAGCAGTCAGATTCCGGTGGAGGACGATGAACCTCTGCTACTCTCCGACGACGTCAAAACCGGTCTTGTGCTCATCGACATCGTCAATGGCTTTTGCACCGTCGGAGCAGGAAATCTGGTAAATATCTTTAATCATCATACTTCCGTCCCAAAATAAACTTCATGTCAAATTAAACCTGTCGATAAATTCACTTTATGTCTACAATTTGTAGTTATAAGTATTTGTGTACATTCACTGCATATATGTACTAATGCCAAGCATTCATAATCCTTGGCTTCTTTTGATCTACTAGAACAGTAAATTGTGAAAAGAGGTTTATATGATAAGATGTTTCTGTTTATTTTATTGCATTTTTTAATGCTTCTTCTTCCTCTTCAGTATTGATTGCTTGTAATGTTGCTACACGTCCCTTTCTGTGTGAATGTATGTTATGTTCCCTCTAGGCTCCACAAAAACATGATGAACAAATTGCTGGAATGGTGGATGAATCAGTGAAGTTTGCTAACCTCTTCTGTGAAAAGAAATGGCCTATTTTTGCTTTCCTTGACTGTCATCATCCTAACATTCCTGAGCACCCATATCCTCCTCACTGCATAATGGGAACTCATGAAGCTGAACTGGTTCCTTGTAAACTCTATCTGCCTATAGTTTTGATCCTCCATATTGTTTCAAAATATTAATTCCATTTCATATCTCTGTTTTCAAATGATGTGCAGCTCTAAAGTGGTTGGAGAATGAACCAAATGTTATTATACGCCGCAAGGATTGTATTGATGGATTCATCGGGTCTCTAGATAGAGATGGTTCCAATGTATTTGTGAATTGGGTGAAAAGCAATGAGATCAAAGTTGTGAGTATTTTCTGTGCATTTGAAAGCAGAATATCTTTTTCTCTCCCTGATCACTTATTTACTGACGTGAATCCTTTCTAATAGCATATTTTTACCAAGGTATTGGTCCTAGGAATATGCACAGACATATGTGTTCTAGATTTTGTTTGTTCTGCCTTGTCTGCAAGAAATCATAGGATTCTCTCCCCACTAGAGGACGTGATAGTATATTCACGTGGATGTGCTACTTATGATCTTCCAGTGCATGTTGCTAAAAGCATCAAAGGTGCCCTGGCTCATCCACAGGTACGCTAAGCTTAATCTCAGTGGTTGAAAAGGCCAAGACGTATTTAAGTTTATATTGCCACTTTGAAGCTCTAAATCGGAGGAGCCTTGGCTGATCAAAACATAGTTAATAAGATCAGTTGCATTGGTTATGTTTTGCCATCGTTATATTCTTCATTGCCTAAGGAAGGAACATGTTTTAGTTTCTTCTTCCCATTAACAAATTGAGTGCTTCTGTAAAGTTAATTGTGCATTGTAGGAGCTGATGCATCACATAGGGCTGTACATGGCAAAAGGAAGGGGAGCAAAGATTGTATCAGAAGTCTCATTTGATAAGTCAGATTAAACCTAATTTTCAGTTATACAGGAATTCAATTTCACTTAATGGAAGAGTACCTGATCTTCTGCTGTCGTACAAAACTACAGATGTTACAACAGTTCTTTATTTGTCCCTGTCTATTTAAAAACATGATATAATGTATAGACAGATCTCCCTGTTTGCTTAGTAAATGTATGGAGAATTGATACCCTTGAATATTATTGTATATGAGATTATGAGTCACATTTATCATTCTTTATAGCCTCTCTTTTCATTATTAAGATACTCTTTCATATTATTAGAACAGAAACATAATGAGATTTAAAACGTGCTTCTCTAATTAGTTCAAGTCATTGCGAATATTGTGGAAATGTGGAATGTTAAGAATGCAAACTCTCAAAAGTGTTATCTAATCTCACTACAGGCGAACCTTGCTGTTGACATTTTCAGTATCTAAATGTGTTCGAAATTATGAAAAAGAGAGGGAAAACTTTCAGGAAAGAAACAACTGATTTCCCATTTGTACATAATGTGAGGCTCCACTAGCAGAATGAGTTTGTGGAGGCTAAAAGTGAAAAGACCAAAGAGCTAAAGATCTATAACAGCTCTCAAGACCTGGTACTTTTTGTTCGGGTGAATGCATGAAAAAACAGATTTCTTGTGCTTCTTTGGTTTGTTTCCGAAAATGAATGACCCCAGAGGAATTTTTGATCGACTCGCTGAATGTTTCAGTTGTGGGTTTCCTCCAGAAAGACCAAATTCATGTCCCAACTTCTTTAGTGTCTTCTCAACTTCCAATTGAAGTATGGTTACATGATCCACACCTGCTTGCAGCTCCTCTCTAACTTTGTTGTTTTCTTGCTTCATGTTTAGGACCTCGCCTTGGAACTTAGCAGCTTGATGACTGCTGAATTGGATCTCTTCACCTTCCACTCCTTCTCTTAGAGCTATTGTGATTTCCTCCTGAATGTGGCACAAAGACGACGATCTGCGTTTCAGCTCATCCTTAAGTGACCCGCTTTGGTCTAGCCAGACGGTCAGTTCAGTGTGTATCTCCCTAAGGTGTTTGAATATGGGTCGAACCTCTGATCTTAGATCCTGTGAGTGGGCACTGTTTTCTTGTGTCTTCTTTTCTTTGACTTTCGACAATTCATGCTGCAGATCTTGGACCGTTGTCTTGAATTTCTGTATCTGATGAAAGGAAGAGCTGAACCGTAACCAGAAATCCAAGTTTTCGTCTAGGATTGCATCAATTTCCCCACGTAGCTTTTCTTCAACAGGTGAGACGTGAACAGGTTTGTTAATCAAGGCGGGCAACATGAATCCATCTTCGTCATCCTTTGTCTGAGGTCTCTCTGAATCTTCTTCCCTTGCTTTTGAGGACTCTGTTCTTGATTCTTGTTCTTTAGCCGTACTTTCGCTTGGTTCTTTCTTTTCAGCACCACCATCTGGTGACAGCGAAACATTCACCCTCTGACGCAACTGTTGTATTTCTTCATCCCTCTTTGCGATCGCACTTTTCAACTCGCTGATCTGCAAAGTGAATTCAAATTCATTGTCTCTATCTTTCTTCTCTATCTCTGTCAACTTCTTCTTGAGCTCTTTGTAATTCCTGAGAACTGTTGTATATTCTTTCAGTATAGCTTTTTCTTTGTCCCTCATCCCATTCAACAACATCTCCCGCCAGTTTTGCTCATCATCCTTATCCAAGTCTATATTCAAGACATTTTTCAATCCATTATCTTCAGACCCAGGCGAACCACTTGTCTCGACCTTCTGTGCTGGTGTTCTGGCCACAGACGACAAATGTTCGCTTTCAGACTTTACACCTTCCTCCTCTTCATTTTTAATAACAACTGTGTTTGGAGCTATACTAACTTCTTCCCCTTCTTTTCTTTCAGTGGAAGTGGAGTTTAAGGCACATGCACCAGAATCTTCCAGAGTGTCTGGTTTTCCCCCCATGTTTTCCTTTGGTTGGAACTCAGTGAGAGATTCAGCTTCACTCTGTGGTGAATCTGTACCCTCAAGCTCCTCCTCGTCTTCCTCTTCCTCGTCCGGTTTCACATTTTTTAGTTTCTCAGACAAATGGTCGAGATTCCAACTTGCCTCGGCAATTTGTTTCCGAAGGCTGCTTCTTTGCTTTTCAAGGCCTTGGTTTAGATTCTGAATGTCCTTCCATTTCTTCTCCATCTCATTCATTTGATTTTCTTTGGCGGTTTCTGTCTTATCGTTCTCCTCCTTCAAGGTCCCGGCCTTTGTTTGAAAATCATTGGCTTCCTCTTTCAATCTGTCAATTTCAAGTGTTTGAGCAGAAATTGTGTTTTCCAGGTCTACTACTTTGTTCACAAGCTCATCAATCTTCTCCACTAGTTCAGTGACAGTCAGAGCTCCCATGGAGTCCCCACAATCCAGCGGTCGCAACGACTCTTCCATGGCATCACAACAAACTTCTTGACTTGAGCTTCCTGACTCGCACACGAGGCTATTCCTCTCATTCCTTTTGTCATCACTTTTTTGAGGGTTTTTCAGCCCAATGTGAGCAGCATAACAATCTCCAATCTTCTTGTACTCCTCTCTTGCCTCCCGCGATGCTCTCTCCTGCCTCTCCTGCAACTGAGCCAGCGTCTCCCTGCAAGATTTCAGCGCCATTTCGGCCATCAAAGTGCGCGCCACATCATCCTCAATGGCTTTCGTCACTCCAAACTCGTCCTGCAGGGCACAGACCCTCTGCTGCATTTCTGAGATCTGGTCCTCAATCGCCCGGCACTTGGCAAGCCCACTCTGGTACGAGCTCTTCACAAACTCTTTCGCAGTTTGCAGTTTCAGAATGTCCTTCTGAAGCCTGTCCACCTCTTCAGTTGCCTGCGTGATGGTGAGGCCGGATTTGGGAGGAGCTTTTTTCGCAACCACCACCTCCGCCGGTTTCTTGGTCTGCAGCTTGTTGGGGACAGTTGCTGTGGTTATGATCACCTTCAGCTTCTTCTTGCTGGGAGCCTTTGGAACCTTGGGGACATTCTTGGGGTTCTGGCGAGGGAAGTTCTTGCGAGGAGGGGGCTTGGGGGACCCGTATTCGTCGTCTTCGTCCATGTCCAGCTGGAACTGCTCAGGACAGAGAGTGGCGAGTGTGTGGTTCACGCTCTGCAAATCCTTGGACAACTTGTCATACCTCTCAGCTAGAGATCTGAAACCCCTGTAAGATTCCTCCACAAAGTTTATGAGCTCTGGTCTTCTCTTGTAGTACATCTCTGCTCTTTTTGCAAATGAATCCCCATCTTCTTGGATCAGAACAAGCATGTGCTGCACCTTTTCCTCCATATCTGCATTCATCTCATCTAATATCAACCATGGGAAGACATGCATAAAATTATGTATGCATTTCACTTTTTTTTTCCTCTAGATTACACTACTTTTTGTGCCTGTCACTTCCATCAATATACCATATAATTTTAATTCATATTAAATATCAAAGGCTAATCATATATATCTTGGTTGATTATAAAAAATTAAATTTTGACAAAGACAAAAAGAGTATGATTCAAAAAAATTTGGACCCCTTAACGAAAACGCCTATCGACTAATTGAGATTTATTCGGTCCTATAAAAGGGTAAATCGTAAGCGCCAAGGAAAAATGTAAGGCAAATGCAAGGTTTTTTATTATAGAATAAACGTACCTTGTAGGCTCTCTTCAAGCCATTTAGATTGCTTGGTCCTAATGTGGCTTGCCCACCACCATGAGTAGGCATTGCTTGCGGCCCTTTGTAACATATTGATCTTCTCCTCAGTATATAATCTTCAAATAATTTCTTCTTCCTTTTTATTCTCCCTTTTCAAGATTCTGCATAAACAACATACAAATTAATGAAACCAGCGGCCGCATAAAAATTAAACAAGAAAGAAAAAAACTTGAAGAAATAAAAAAAAATATATTCTTATTCAATACATTATTATATCTAGCATTCATTCATGTATGGGACATTTTGTATAAGGGATCAAATGGTTTTTCCCGTGCTATCATTATTGTAATTATGTGTATACATATATACTTATAGAAGTGATTCAATACAATATAACTTCTCATTTTCTCATATCTTATCGGAGCCCTTGTACGTGGTCCTAATAGAGATTTTTTTCCTCTTCTTCTTTTGGCTATGGCTCCACGCCACCTCCGACCACTCTTGCTTCTTGATATGATCTTAAGAAACGATAAATTGTAAGCGCGAAACAAGGTCTAACGCAACTAAGAATCCGCGCGGGGATTTTTAAGAATATATTACCTTGTAGGCTCTCTTCAAGCCATTTAGATAGATTGCTTGGTCTTAATGTTGCTTGCCCACCCCCATGAGTAGGCATTGCTTGCATCCCTTTGTGACATTATTGATCTTGTCCTCAATATTGTTCTTCAAATAATTCTTTTCCCTTTTTTATTTTTTATTTTCCCATTTCAATCTAAATAAACAAGAACTTTTAAAGTCATGAAACCCACGGCCCCATAAAAACCAAAGAAGAAGAAGAAAGAAAAAACTTGAAGAAATTAATAAGATCATTAAGAAATCAAAAAAAAAGAAAGAAAAATTCAAAAGTTTTGTTTTGGGGACATGAAAAATAGTGATGGTGGAATGCGGTCAGCCAGTAAAACTACGTATGGATTCTTGAGGGTTAATGGTGTGGAGTAATCTTTGCTCCATAAGATAGGTTATTATAAGAATGGGTGGCATGTATTAGCAATAATAAAAGTAATACTCATAATTAAATATTATTATGCAATATTTTATTGAAAGAAAAGTCAGAGAGAAAGCATAAATGTTTAACAAGATTCACTATTAAACTTAGTCGTTGTAAAACAGCGCCGGCCAAAGGGTGGACCAAGGTGCCCTACTAGTCTAGACCCAGTTTTTTCGGGAGCCGATCATTTTTACTTTATATATATATATATAGACACACACACACACTACAATACTCCCTCCATCCTAAAATAATTTTCTCAGTCGCTATTTACATGGTCAATCTTTAATCACTTTTTTTTTACCTATTTTCATTAGTTATTTAATAAAATAATATAGTCATGCCACCTTTTGTTTTGTAGAACTTTTAATGTAGTTTTAAAATATATAATTTTTATTTTTTAATTTTACATCTATAATCAAATAAATTGAATTAAAAATAATTTCAGTCAAACCTTCTAAACCGAAGTGGGAAGATCAATATAGGACAAAGGGAGTACTAATTATAATTTTAAAGAAAAATAATTTATACTCCCTCCGGTCTTGAAAACACTTCCGTCCTAATATTTTGCGTATCCCATAAAATACTTTTACTCTACCTAAAATGTCTAAAATACCTCTAAAATACCTTCTACCCGCAATAAACCACTAATGGGATGTATTTTAGACATTTTAGGTGGAAGTAAAATTATTTTATGGGGTGCGTTAAAAAATAGCGCGGAAGTGTTTTCAATAACGAAGAGAGTATAACTTAATTTGTTCAATCCAATGCATATTTTTTTTGTCTTTTCTAGGGCCATATCCTCAGGATCAGCCTTGTAACAAAAAGCTACTCGTATCACATAACCACAAGTGCATTTCCCTCCTCTTAGTACATTTACTTTCTCATATTCTTTTCCTTCCAGTTTTCTTTTCTTTTTCTCTCTAACCAAACAAGAAAAATATTTTCCTTCTCATTTCCTTTTTTCTTTCCCTCTAAAATTTCTTGAACCAAACATAGTGTAAGTGTATGTTTGGTTCAAAGAATTTGGAAGGAAAAGAATAGAAAATAAGTTTCTCATTTTCCTCAACAAAATAGAAGGAATTTGGTTTTTCTTCTTAGTATATTTTATTTTTTCATTCTTTCCAGTTTTCTTTTCTTTTCCTCTAATGAAACAAGAAAAACTGTTTTACATCTTAATTTCTTTTTTTCCTTTTTTAATTTTCCTTGAACCAAACATAGTGCAAATGATTAAGGCACTTTATCATTCCAACATCACCATCACTTTTGTATACTTGTGTTTTTTCATTTATAATTATTCCGCAATAAAATAAAATATTTTATCAACTCTACTTTTTTTAAAATTTTTGACATAATTTTTTATTTGTATACTAATAGTAATTTTTAAAGAAAATGAATTTTAAAAACTTAAAACTCTCTCTCATATTTCCCTTCATGTTTGTGCGAGTGGTGTGGGTTTGGGGGAGATAAGATTAACAAACGTACAAACTATAAAATGACACATGAGGCCATAAAGTATTCATAATAATACTAAAATTCCACTTTACGATGTTTAACTAAAATTATTTTCAATACAGTTTATTTGAAAATTAGGGTAGAGTTAAAAAATAAAATTTAGATATTTAAAATACATCAAAAGTTCTTCAAAATAAAGGGTAAAATAACTTTTATTCTATCAAATACTCCGTAAGTAACAAAAATAAAAAAAAAGGTAAATGAAATCTAAATGCAACTTAATTTGGAATAAGGACAGTATAATAGTCACAAAAAACCAGTTCTTCACTTCTTCCAACAGTTTGTTAAACTGCCAAAATCAAAATTTAAAATAACCGAATTCCATTAACGAACTAGAAACTTTTATCATCAACAATGCCCAAAGGGGCTTCAAATAGTATACCGGTTACAATAACAACATATATTTACATGCAAGCAAAAACAGGCAGATGGCATGCATTTCTGCAAACTGAAAATCCAAAAAAAAAAACTTCTTAGTAGTTTTTGTTGCATGCGGAAATACAACAGTGCCCATCATCATCAATCCATCCATAGCTCGGATCATATAATTCATTAGATATCTACTCCTAAGTCCCTAACACAAAATACTTCTTTTTTTTTCTGGAAGGTTAGCCAATTGATTTCTGCTTAGAGCCTAAAAAGGTATCGTAGATCTTCAACAGTAAGGCGACTTGCGGTGCCACCAGCATGATCTTCACCAAAAGCAGACGCAACCATGGCTCTCTTGTCTTCCTGCAAGAAACAACAATCACCAATTAAGGGTATAATTTAAAAATAATGATAATAATAATAAATGAAGTAATCTTCATTGAAATTTTGAATGCACGGGGAACAAAAAGAAGTGGTTTTCCCAGTACACAATAGTACCTGCATAGTTGTTGTGCAAAGGAAGACCTTTTCACTACATTTTTCTCTGTTATGGAGTTTTCTAAAAGGAATCTTATGTTATTTATATTCATGCCGGAGCACTGGTTATGGTTTAAGAAGTCCCATGACTTCTGAGATTTGATATTGAACTTTCGATGTCAGTTAATAGTATTGTAGAAACCAGAAGTGATGATGTTCACACAATTCATCTCAAGTTGGAGCACATAGCTTTATCATGCCCAACTCGTTACACGAATAAAGAACACGAATCTTGTGTGGTGCTTTAGCAAACAAATATTCAACTGGTCTCCGGCTTTCCCAGATCTCCAACTAATCGACTCTTTTTTTCTCGAACAAAATGGCAATAAAGCATCAATGTGTTTTGCTTTCTCATGAAAAACTGGATTAGATACACTAAGCAGTGCAACTTGATAATCACGTAAAAGCTTGCCAGAATTGTACCCTCCCCCTTTGAACAAGGTCCTACTTCCTAGAGTCATAATGAGTGAAAGTTGTGCGCACAACATACCTCTTCTCCTAGGTTTAGAGAAATGATTTCCACAAAGACACTTGCCTAGGGGAAAAACGGAGAAGTCTTGCTTGGTAGAAACACAAGATTACTTTTGGCATTAGCTTCAACGTTCAGCTTTAGCATTTTTTGGTTTTGTGGTTTGGCATAACCCATCTACCAAGGGTTATGTGGTTTGGCAAAATGGAGGTCCACGCAGAGTACCGGGGTGACGTCCACAATGGAGGCCCTTATGAGACTTTAAAGAAATCATTAATAATGGAGACAACATATATATTCCTAGCAAAAGCAGGCTGTGAACTACCTTTAGAATCCGGATGAGCCTCTTTTTTTAAAAAAATGTAAGCTTTCATTACTCATCCTCTAGCAACAGCCAGAAAAGGACACCAACAGACCAACAAAACAATGATAGATTGGATCGTATCAGAACAAACCAACACAACTATTAGAAACTACCAGAACCTATCTTTTAGAAACTACCCTCAACTCCCTTCAGAAACTAATTAACTCTTTTTATATTTAATTAAATAAATATTAAAGACACACTAACCGACTCCATACTAACAGACACCATACTAATCGACCCGAACATTGACCCATTACCCATTCAGTTATATGTGAACAAACCCGATTAAATCTAACAATCACGCTCCTAATCGTTGTTTGTTCCCAGCAATGTTGGTTCATCATCATCTTGAATCAAATTTGCAATACCTTCCTTTTGATCCCATTTTGGACATTCGTTCACAAAATGCCTGAGCTCATTGCACTTGAAACACCGAATGTGACTCTTATCTCTTTGAGACCGGCCACCATCTTGACCTTTCCCGGAGACCTCAACCTCGGCCACGTCCAAAGTCTTCTCGGTTCGAGCTCCTGCAACCACAATGGTCACACTTGTGCTCCTAAACCTTCTCTTTCCCACCAACTTTAGTGAATAGTAGTTTACCATGCATATCTCCTTGGTTGACATGTTGATGCATTCCTCGAAGACTTTCAATCTTCCAAACTCTTCTTGAAACAGCATTGTGTTAAGATTCAGCAAACTGTTCGACTGCAGCAACGATCTGTATGAACTTTTTTGGAACAAAATCCAACAGCTATCAAACCAATTTTGTCTTCAAATGCAGACCCAAGGTTGCTTGCTTATGTTGCAAGTTGACTAATTTTACCAGCAAAATCATCAATTGACTTGTTCTTCATCTTTAGAGACTTGAAATCTGATTCAAGCGTGTGTAATCGTGCCTCTTTAACCATGTCAACACTAACAAAGCGAGTCTTCAGAGCATCCCAAATTTCTTTAGCTTCGGTAAACTGAGCAACTTGTAACACGATCTCTTCCGGAAAATCTTGAAACAGATATGCTATCAACATATTGCTCTTTGGATCGATTTCTGTTCCTGGATCAATTACCTCCCAAATCCCATGAAAGTTGAAAATCACTTTGATTTTCACAACCCATATTGGTGTAGTTTGTAGCAGTTAGACTTGGAACCTGGAAAGATATGTGAACTATTCTCCCTCGTAGTCACAAAGACAATCTGTCTGTTTGGGTTGTCTCCCATTGAACGACTTTTTTTTTGAAAAAAAGAAGGGATCGCACTGCTTCTTTCAATATCCTGATCCCAAGCTTGCTGAACTATCAGTTTGAACCTCTTTTTATTTTCCCACTTATCACAATATTTAAAAAGGGATCCCACTGTGCTTTGTGGAATGTAGGAGCCCAAAACTGGAGAAAGGTCAGAAATTCCTTGAGGTATAACAATGACTTTAGCATCATTACTGATCATCCAATCAATGTTAGCAAGTACTCTATCAAGTTTAGAAGAAAATCTATCATATCCATTCTGTTTATTTGTCCATGTAAACTTTAGACCTTCCACTGGCAGTTTTTCAAGACCGCATCCATGAATGCAATCTTTAAAATCCTTAATACTTTCACTACTAACTGGAAGTCCACCTCTTCTGTAATCAGGATCCAAATACTATTAAAAATCCCACATGACTCCGATGCTTTGTCAACTGAATCGGCAAAAATCTCCAATTCCTCTCATAGCTTCTCATTCATAGTATTTTGCCCATAAAAAAACAAAATGAAAAAGGAATCAGTAGCTCCGTATTTTTAACTGAAACAGTGGATCACTTGAGCCATCTCCTTCAGGCTTGTTATTGTGAAATAGTTGTTGTATAGCTGATGCCATACCTAGACTAAATAGGCTTTAGTTTTCTATATTTTGTGTATATACTTCATTTGAAAAGCAAGTAATCAGAGAGTATTCATCATTTATCTCTAGATTTCACAGTTATCTTCTACTTTTTTACTATCTCATGCTATCCAGATTCTGCCCAGAGAGTGGCTGTCATTATTGATATAGGACCCCAGTTAGAAAACAACCACTGCCAAATTATGTCAAACTTACTATCTTTGATTTTAGTTTCTACCAATATTGGTCCAGATCTGCTTATTTGGGCTATTTAGCCCTCTCACATTCCAGGAGCAAATCATGATAGGAATGCTTCCTGCACCACATTAGGTGCCCCTTCTAACAGTTCAAAAGCAGAGTTTGTACCCATTTCCTCCAAACCTTTAGGTTCTTCTAATAGTCTTCTTGGCTCTTGCTATATTTCTCTTTCCCACTAGTTGAAACACAGATTCCTTCAAACTTCATTCCCCTTGACCAGCCTTCTGCTCAGGCCTTCCCTGGGTATTAGTAGTCTTAGTGTCATCATCCAACTTTGCTGTATTACACTGCATCTCCTTTAGTCACTTGATTTTTAGGTTGCCAAACTAGCTGCCCCATTTCAGTCTTTCCTTTTCTACCACCTCTGACTTCTTATAGTAGTCTTCAGCATGACCTAACAGGGGGGCAGTAATTGCATTTAATAAGGTAGCATTCATGTTTAAGCCTCTGCTGGATAGTTATATCCTAAACTATGTCCTTGGAATTCCTGATTCAGCTGGACCTCAACCATCAGCCTTGCATAACGTAAACTTGTTCTGCTAGCAGTAGCTATATCAGCATTAATTGGCTTCCCTATAACGCTAGCAATTTTGCTCAGTCAACTTAAGCTCCATAATTTCAAATCTAGATCCGGGAGTTGTATCCAAGCTGAAATATCAGCCAAGTTATCTAGATAGTAGATACACAGTCACTCCAAGTCTCCATGAGCCCTTTTATTAAATAATGTTGAGATGAGTCTTGCTTTCCCTTTGTACAAGGTTGATGCTCCATTTAAATTTCTAAAAATGGATATTTTGAAATTGGATTATGGCAATCATTAACTATGTAGTAAACTACACCAAAATTAAAATCACAAACATTAGTAAACATATTTGGACCAGGATTGCCAATAATGCGCCATAGCGGTGTGGAGTGGCACCAGGTTGCTGAATAATTCTCTGTAGCAGAGCAGGTGAATGTTGTAGTTATTGCAGGAGCTCTAGCGGGTGATATAATGGTTGTAGTAGACGCAATAGTGCTCTTCTTTGATTTTTCATTAATGACATCATCAATGGTACATATGGGTTTCTTCAAAATTAACCCTTACAATGACTTATCCCTAGCTGAACCATAAGCCCAAAATTAAAAAAGCTAAACACACGAGAAGTTAAGTTGTTTTTATTTTGGAATACCGAATATGAGATTGGTAGATGAGAAAAAGGCTACTGTGGATCAAGCGGTATGCTTTTAACATCCCATAAATAACTTTTTTTGAAGTGTCTATGTTTCATAGTCACCAAGGACCAGTTAACTCCGAATCAAGTAAATATCACCCTACCCACTGTTATGACTCCCAAACTCTGATCCAAATTACTGCTGCCCCTACCCCTGCCCCCGTGCACCCCACCCCCCTGAATCGCCGATTTGGGCAGCCCAAATCGATGATTCAGGGTGGGCGGTTTGGGGGGGGGGGGCGGAACCATCAATTCTACCAACGGAGCACCTTAGGTGCCCCAATCATAATATGACCTTGGATTCATGGGTCAAAAGAACCTTGCCAAATAATAATAATAAAAAGTCAACAATTATAGGAAGCTATAATAATCATACGGAGTAAGTAATATGAAACCCTAATAATAATACTCCCTCCGTCCCAAAATGTTTGCCACATTTCCTTTTTCAACCATCACGGGAACTTTTATTTATTTGTACCTTTTCATTGATTGTTTGATAAAATAAAATATTCTTGACACCTCTTATTTTGAAGAATTTTTCATGTAGTTTTTAAATATGTAGATTTTATTTTTTTATTTCTATACCAATATTTAAATAAAATGAATTGAAAAAACTTGATATTTTGCCTCGTTTTTCGAAATGTGGTAAACATTTAGGGACGGAGGGAGTAATAACTAACAAATCCAAAGGCCTGTAGCAAAGCTCTAATTCCAAATATTGTTCATAAATGCACCCTAAATATAAACAGCAAATTCAAGTCCCAAATATATGGTGCTGATGTTAGTTGAAAGGTAACCTGGAGAGCCAAAATCCTGTCTTCAACAGTGTCTTGAATTGTTAACCGTGTCACAGTTACAGGACGGGTCTGCCCTATTCTATGAGCTCGATCAATGGCCTGATCTTCTGTAGTTGGGTTCCACCAGAGATCCAAAAGGATGACATGACAAGCTGCTACCATATTTAAACCAAGGTTTCCAGCTTTTAGGGACATTATCATAACAGTCACCTGTAATAGGAAGTTGGCTTAGAGAGAATCTGAAAGCTTATAGGCAGCATGATCCAGAAAAGGGAATGATGACCGAAAAAAATAAAAACCAAAAAAAAAACAGAAAGAAAAAAAACACTGGTATGTACAGGGTTTAGACCAGATTCCAGATATCACCTACTTCAAGCCAAACAAAATAATTTGTCCGCACTGCAGGTTGTGCAACTGAAAAGGTCGATACAGCACAAAATTGTAGACTAGGGCACAGCAGTAATAAAGGAACAGTATTCACTCAAATGCTTAGATTATGTTACATGCTGAATGCACATTCCATCCACATGCGGATCATAGCCTTTCCCTCAAAGCATGTAATACTATTAAAAGAAAGAATGGTTCTTAAGTTATAATGTCATAAATGAATGCACAATACATATACATGAAAACAAGCAGCCTCATGCAGAAGTATGTTTGAGCAAAGTTGGTGGAAACATCAGGATGTGTTACTATCACTCCCATCAAAGAGCAGCTTTTGAACTCAAAATTATGAGTTTGACAACATTGCCAAAATCTGATGAAACTAACATATTAAACTAATCAATCATTAAAAATCTCATTAATCCACTAGATAAAAATTTAGCTATAAGAAATGGAAGATGGAATTTTGTTACCCCCTCTGCCTATTTTATGCCTCACTTTCCTTTTTGGATTGTCACACAAATATGTGCTCTTTCCTTTTTGAACTCCAATAACTTTATACTCCCTCCGTCTTGAAATAGACTCCATTGTTTGCCTTCATGGAATTTAAGAAAAGTGTTGAAATGTACAAAGTTTATGGATGGAACTCGTTAAGAGGTGAGAGAAAAATTGTGAGCCATTTATTGCACTCTAAAATAGGAAAAAGATAATGGAGTTTATTTTGAGATGGATGGAAAAGGAAATGTAAAGTTTGTTTTGGGACAGAGGGAGTATTTTCCTCTACATTTTTTCTAATTTAGAATTTTGAGCTAGTTGCACAACTATTATAAAAGTTACCCCCCTTTAAAAGGGTAAATTTAAAAAACTAAAAAAAACAATTTGTGGTTTAATCTGCATGCAAAAATCAACTGGATCTTATCTTTTAGGACAGATGGAGTATGGTGAAAGCAGGCAACAAACACCAAATCAAACTCTACACATTTTGATTCACTGCCAGCCAAAACAACTGAGAAACACTTGAAAAATTCGTCAAACTGACATCAGATCATAAAAATATCCAACCTTGGGATTGGTGTTGAATTCCTTGACTCCCCTATCTCTAGCAGCAAGACTCATAGTGCCATCAAGCCTTTCATACCGTATTCCAGATCTCTTTAGTGACATTTCAACTAGGTCTAGCATGCCTGTCCACTGGGAAAAAACAATAGCTTTTATTGGAGCTTCAGTGTGTTGGACTGTATCTGTTTCTGTGTATGTGTTTTCAAAAGACAAAGTTTCTCCATCTGAATCTATGCTGGAATCTCCTGATTTACAGAATGATTTTAGAATTTCAAGACAGGCTTTAATTTTAGAGGAATAATACTTCTTCCCCATTAAACATTTATCGTCCATCACTGACAGATTCATAGGATCTTTATCCATATTATCTGAAGTACATCTCTTAAGGATAGCCTCTGAGAAGACAGCATCAGTGTTAAGTTGTTTTTTGCATCCAGGAGCAGGACATGTATTGTCTTCCCCAGTCAAATACTCTGATACACATTGATAGCAGAACACATGCCTGCATAGTGTGACAACTGCATTTTCTGGTGGATCCTGTAGCATATAAATGTTACAGTAATTTTAATTGAGAAATTTTAAGAGGCACAAATCAACATGGTACTATGTATCGTATTGTTTCAATGGTGAAAACAGATATACTCCATCAATTTAAGTTCGCACATCAATTTGCAAATTTAATCACCTTATTCTCATGAAACCATAACACATATAAGTATGTGATTGCTCAATTCATGTAAAACCTCACTATTTTAGGCGAAAATTTGTAAAATTTGCCTAGTACCATAGAAGTGTACTTTGCTCTACATGGAAATCGGCCAATGTTTAAAATGGAAAACGTGACGGGCAGAAATATGCTAGGCAGTGGAACTACTCTAATAATGTTGGACATAGTCAAGAACAGTTTAGCAGCTACATCCAAGGTCACTGTTGAAGAGTCCTATGTTGCCCTAGGTACTCAATTTGTTTCTCTTAGATCACGGTTCCAAGATTCATGTTCTTCTAAACATATCTGTAGTAGTAACTCATCCTTATTTTCTCATCTCACATACTTCATTTTTCTACCATGGTACCATCTTTGTTTTAGCAATAGAAATAAATCAATCAGCTACATGAATTGAGAGGCCATAAACAATACTGGCTTATGAATGAGCCCATAGAACCAAATGAGGACATGAGTCTTCAAAATATTAATATCAGTTTCCTATTACTATTAGTGATAGGTTGATTAGGTTCCTATTAGTATTCATTTCCTTAAACTTAGTAATACCAATAGCTTCATATTTTTCTAGTGATAGACTCCTAGTAATATTAATTTCTGTTAAATTGTTCTTATCTTAAGCTATGTATAACAGACACCTGTGAACTTACTGTCCTTACATTGTATAAAAAACATTTTTTCAGACTGTTATTGTGGATGACCTTTTGTCCACAGAAGACAATTGGCGTATGAAGGGAACAGGTTATATCGACTCATTGCCCCAAACCTGTATGTTTGCGATGCCACAAATCCTCCTCCCTGACCCACAACACACTAGGCCATCCTCACCTCAGTAAACAGCAACCACTTGTGCTAAATTTGCATCGAGTGTCTGTATTAAAATAAAAGGCTTTTCAACTTTGAACTCATTCTAAGACATCCTTTCCTTATCGATTGAATGAATTGCTTACCTTTTCCATTTATGTTACAATGTCGGGTATACTTGAACACTCAGTTGTTTACTTTTCTTGATCTAAAAGTCATTCTTTATTACTCATCTAGTCAGGATACTCAATAACAAAAGGGGGCATCAGAACGAAAGAATCAACACCAGTCGAACACCTACATTTTGAGATCATGACTTCCATTACAAAGTACTTCCACAGTTCTTAGTTGATTTTATTATTCACTCCTATTAGTCTATTACTAGATACTCCCTCCGTCCCAAAATGGATACCGCCGTTACTATTACGGTCTCTCGATAACTTTTGCTTGTTTGTATGTTTTCATTGATAATCTGATTAAAAATATATTCTTGCCACCTCTTGTTTTGTAGAATTTTTTTCTACTTTTGAACGGTGTAATTTATACTTTTAATTTCTATACCAATTTGTAATTAAAACGATTTAGAAGTGATGAGATTTTGCACATTGTTCGAAAAGTGGCATCCATTATGGGATGGAGGGAGTATATACGTATTCATCTGTTTGAAATGGTGAGAAACTATCCCCATAAATTATAAAATGCATGTTAGTCAAGCGCCCTTTTACTTTACATTCTTGAGACCACCAAGACACAAGTGGAGAGACTGACTTGTGGTGTGCCTCAAAAAACATCAAATCAACTTGATAGTGTCATGATAATCCATGTAAAGTCAGACAACACTAAGACATAATTTGTTTCAAAATTCATTCTAAGATTTGAACAACTCTTACAGCTACTTAACATCTTAGGAAAGCATCTTAGAACAATTAGTGATTGCATTACCAACAAAAAAGGGAGACAATAATTGCAAGAAACTTACACGACAACCTTGACAGATGGCTTCAGTCTCTAGAAGTTTCAGCAATTCCATAAGAATTTCCTTGGGAAGCTTCTTCACCTCCTCAGTTGATGTTCTTTTAATAGATACAGAACTTTGTCCTTTGACAAGTTGCGGATGATCACAAGCCTGCCGTAGACGTAGAAGCATCAGCAAAATGTTTGCATAATTTTGTCTCACAGTCCCAGCTGCAGCATATGCCTATGCCATCAGAGTTATGAGAATAAGCAGGGGTTATCACTCGTCAGCATACAAACAAAAACTGCTACAGTAAGAATTGCATCCTGAGCACTCAAAAAAGAAAAAGAAAAAACACTACTCAAAAAGCAAACAACCATACTCGCTCTAGCATTACCCACATTAACTAAATCAAAGCCTTGTCTAAATTTCATAATGGTAAATCAAGAACAATAAATGGCAATCATAACTCACACGGTACAATAATGACAATGCCTAAATGGATTATGGGATGCCTAAACTTTTTGCAATGTGATTATAGGAATAATGACAATGCCTAAACTTTTTGCATAGCAACAAAAGTATCTCGGGGTAGTAGGAGACATCAGTGTCTTCTTCTTGTAGCAGTCACCGCTGTGGAGTATGGACTTTGGTCGTCCATCTCGTATGGGCAGCGGGCGGAAGGCGCGGAACACACTTTGCTTATGCGTTGGCGGCGACGTAGCTTCTCACGGAAAGGCACAGGCGGCGAAAAAGCTTATGAGAGAATGAGTGAGTATATGTGTATGTGAGAGAAAAGGAGACATGACATGCATTAGGAATGAATAGTTGTAGACGGAAGGGGAAAAGTGTCAACTAAGGTAGTGTAAGCGTGAGTTTAGGGGCAAAAGATCGAAAATAATTTACACCGTTCGTCCTAAAATTTTCTTCTCATTTGACTAGTTTGGTCAAAATATGCAAACCTCAGCTATTCATAAGTAAAAAATCAAAAAATCTGGGCAAAAAAATAAGGAAATCACAGTGGCATTATTGTAAATATTTCAAACTTTTATTCTTCTTCTTCGATTTATTCCCACCTCACCACCACCCCCCACTACCCAGCTGAAGAGTGTCAGATCTGAAGGTTGAAAAGTGTGTCGTTGGCTTTTTTGATTGGGAGAACGGGGGATGGAGCAGCGGCTTCATCGGAAAACTTCACCAGCAACGGCAATCTGACCAATGGTGAAGATCTGAGCACGAAGATCTAAAGATCTGATGAAGGTGAAGATATGAAGATTTGATGGGCAGCAACTTCATTCTGGTGAAGATCTGAGGATGATGATCTGATGCAGGTGCTTGTGGGAGCGATGGAGATGAAGATCTGAAACATGAAGCTCATGGATATGAAGTGGGGAGAACGAAGGTCGGAGAAGAAAGACTGTCAAGAAAAGGTGGAGACAGGGGTATTATAGGAAAGTCAATGCAAATTTTAACTTTTTTTAAACTCCGTGCTCGGTCAAACTGGAAAGTTTTTTTTGGACGGAGGGAGTACATTGTAAATTATGCAATTATACATTACTTGCTCATTATATAAGCTAACGTATTACATTGACCAATTAAGCCCACATTAGGAGAAAAAACTATTTGAAGCAAAAAACAAAGAAGGGTGTTTTTATGGGTTTATGGCTAACTCAAAATTAGCCAAAAGCCCAAAAGAAAAATGTTAGAAGATCAACTACAGCAAAGACTTGAAGGACTTTGGAAGATAATGGCGGAAGAAGTGAAGGTTTAGATGGACAAAATGACTTAGATATTCTAATTCCAAACGATGTCGTCCAACATAGAGAGAAAGATGTGAATGTGGCACCAAAACGGGATAACAATTTGGACGAAGGAGATGAAAATGAAGCACCTTATTATTCTAGCATGGTAGACGTCTTGGAATCAAGTTTTTAATGCTTGGTAACTTATGGTATGTTTTTGTTGTTAAAATATGTGTTCTATTACATATGCATACATACATAGTGTGTATGTGCAGGTGTGTGTAAATTGATCTTAATCTTACGTAGAATCTCAAGTTTGACTACCTTTATTTCAGCACAAGGCTGGAAAAGAATCAAATGGTTAGTTTAGTGAAATTAACTGGTCATGTCCTTGGGGCGTGCTTGATGAGCGCAAACGATATTAGTAAAGCCTAAACAAGGTTAGGGTATCTCTTGATATCATAACACTCCCAAATGAGTGGTAGATGACCTGAAACCAGTTAAAGTCTTTTTCTTGAAAGATTTGGCATAGTTCGGGTATTTGTTTTATAACAATGAAGTTTAGGTATTATTTGAAAAAACGTCCAAAGTTCAAGTACCCCCGGTGATATCTACCCAACTTCTTAATGTACTCAATCCGTTTTAAACCAACAAAATTTATTTACATTAAGATAATGTTGAACATTGCATTTGACTTCATAACTCTTGAGACTTCATACCAACTTCATACCATTTCAAATATCTCCAAACACTTATTTACGATTTTAGAACCCATCGCCATCTCATTTCTTCTAAACTTCAAAACTCATATCGTATCAACCCTGCTTTGCTAACCAAAAAGGCCCTTAGGATAGTCATATTTTTTGCGAACAACTCCTTATATAATACTTCGTAATAATAATAATAATAATAATAATAACAACAACAACAACAACAATCACAATAACGATAATAATAATAAATAAGAATAACAATAACAATAACAACAACAATAATAATTATAATAGATATAATTATAATTATAATAACAACAAGAATATTAATAATAATAATTATAATCATTATCATAATAATAACAATAATAATAAAAATAATCATAATAATTATAAAGAACTGAGTTTTGACTAAGTTACCCCAGTGGTGTCCCAAAGAATATTTTTTTAGAGAAAGATTTAGATATTTTAGCTAATAAAATGCAATATGAACGACCAAATTTGATGACAAACCACTCTTGTTAGAATCATTACATTTTACAGTCTATTTATGATGGAAGGGTTTTTGTAGAAAACGTGAAGGGAGTTAATTGTATTATTTATAAAACCTTGACTCCTCTGGTAATTTGACCATTCCCACAGGATGTAGCTATATATAACCCTAAATCAAAAGGGAGATATGTTGAAATGTTGAGTAGGAAGGTTTTAAAAATTAATACTAGGCTAGGAAAAGAGAAAGCCACCTTGAATTGTGAACGTGATGCTGCTTCAAGCCGGTTGTAGAAATCACGCTCCTCGGGAGTGAAAGTCACCTTCTTCAAATGTATAGTTTTTGGTGGTAAGTTTATAATTGGCTGGCCCTCAATCAGTGTACCTATTACATAAAGTGCAGATGCTTAGAATCCACAATTACAGAACCGAAAGACTAATATGAACATCAATTTATAAAATATTCTGTTAAAGGTGCAGAAGATAGGTTCAAAGAAGTGAGCGAATAGACCAAATGAAGTGTTATCTCTTTCTAAAAAATTGGCTATATCCCTTCAGTAACCCCCTACAGCAAACATGAAAGGGCAATGTTCAGATTGACCCTCATCCAAGGAAAAAAAAGGTTCGTAATTCTTAGATATATGATATTCTAGGTAACAGTCCCAAGACTCCTGAAATTAGTGCAGACCTTAAGCAGTGCAACGGCATTCTGTGAAAATTCAAAACAGTTTTAATTTTGAATCTGTGTGCTCAGGTTTCAATTATGCTCAGAAAACTCAGAATCAACTTTTGACATACTAATCAAATTTTCACACGCAAGTCTATGCTTGTGAAAATTGGACATATTAACAAAGGATCAAGAGTCATGGTTGTCAGGTCATATGTGAGGCCAAAACCACCAAGTGCATCGACATAAAGAGAGTGAGCCTGAAAACTTAACTAGGCTAATTGACCATTAAGATGACCTGCATGGCTGCATCATACATTTACCTAGTCCATTTCTGTTTTGAGGATATATCTCCTTATTGAATGAATAAGAAATTTATGCAGGCTGCAGTAGATAAATTTATAGAAAAACATAGAATACTAGAGTCATTCTTAAATTGTTTGTTGTAAAATCCTCACCAAGATTCCTGGTTAGGTCTTAGGTTGCGTTTTGTTTGCCTAATCTGATCCGATTTTCTGAAAATCTGGTCTGATCTAATTGGATCTGATCAGATATAATATGATTAGATCCGATCTCATTGGATCCGAACTGATTGTAGTTATATTTAAAGTTGTTTCTGATCTGATCTCACTGGATCTGATTAGTTGATTAGATCTGCTCTGATTTTAATAAGAATAAGTAATAAGCTGAAAAATAAGTTGAACGTAACAGACCCTTAGTCTCTAGTCTCTCTACTTAAGTGACTAGGTTTTGGTTCCTTGTTTTGGACATGCTTAACTATGATTAATCCCTTCCTTTGATGTATCCCCAACTAGATCATAAGCCATTAATCCAAAGTTGAACACCCTCATAGATAAGGATGAATCTATGTCCACAAAAATGCATTACTGAGAATGAGTTGATTTTAATTCGGAATATGAGTGTTAGATGAAAAAAAAATCTAAAGTGGATCTAGGGGTTTGCTTGTAACACTTTAGTATAATTTTTATGAAAGACCTCAATCATATATTTAGAAAGCTATGTCAGATTCTCAAAGAGCCCACTCCATTCCCATTTCAGAAAACAATCATAGAGATTTTATTTTAAAATAAAAACAAGGGGACAAGTATCAGTCATCTCCCATCATGCTCACAACCCATGCCTAACTTTTTTAGAAGTATCTATGAGCCACATCACTGTCACCCTACCCACCATAATAACTCCCAAACTCTGATCAAAAGCGCTGCACATCCCCACAAACNTATGACATGTGGTCTGAGACCATCGAAGAAAAAGATAATTGTGAAGGATGCCATGAGAGAGAAAAGAGCCAATGAAAAGAAAGAAGAACATTACAATAGGGTTTGCTGATCTAGTATCACTAAAAGGATAAAAGTGTTGTTTTGTAATCCTAAACTTTCAAAAATACCCACCACAAGAAACGCTTTTGTATCATTAATGAGGTCATTAAATAAAAATCAAGGAACATCGTGGGATCCAACTGGGTTGTGGTTGTTGTAAATAAAAATCAAGGAACAACACTATTGCGTACTACACCCATTATATCACCCGCTACAGCTCCTGCAATAACCACAATACTAACCTGCTATGCTCTACACTGCTATGGCACACTATTGACAACCCTGATCCAAATATGATTAGTAATGTTGCTTGTGATTTTATATTAGAAGGTGAATCAGAGATAATGTGGTCTGATTTTCCAGTCTAAAAATAATTTCCAGATTACAACTGCTGAACAAAGCTACTTGTGCATCCCTGCTAGAGTAGATAATCAAAAAACACTAAGAGCTTGTTTGGTAAGGGAAGATTGGGCTGCAATTACTGAAGTTGCCTAAATTCTAGGGGATTTCTAGCTGATTTTGAAAAAGTTTCTGACTGATGGATTATGACAAAATAATACTCCCTCTTCCCCAAAATAAGCTTGCCACTTTTCTTTTTAGATCGTGCTAAAATAAACTTCTTAGTTCTCATTCTTTTTAAAGTAAGTATTGAATCATTCACATTATTTCTCTCATCTACATATATTGCAACCACACAATTTCACTTTTTTCGTAAACTTTGTGAAACTTCAAAAAGGAAGTCTAATTTCAAAAGGATGGAGTATTGAAAGTGTAAATATGATTTATTGATATACGTAGTAATAAAGAAAAATTATTAAAAAGGTAAAAAATGATGGTCTTCCATAATGTTAACCAATAAAGCAATTCCAATCCTACTTTATCCATTAATAACAAATTTGGCATGTGAGTCAGAGAAATTAGTGTTTGGGAAATATTTATATAAAAAGAGTGGGTGATAAGGATGACATGACAAATAAAAAGTAGCAGAAAAATGGCCACTAAATAGTAGAAAATATATTGGAACCAATAAAATCACCTTTTGTTCGGCGCAACATAATGGCCCTCAAGATTGCTTGAAGCTTCTTGTATCCTTGTACGGGGTTCATAGCTATTGGGAATTTGACGCCACTACAAAATGTTTTGTAGTCTGCATAAGGATCGTATCTTAGGAATCTGAAGTAGCTGAACAGCTCATCAATGGAATTTTGTATAGGTGTTCCAGATAAGCACCACCTTCTCTTTGCCCTAAGACTACAACAGGCTCTAGCCACTTGAGTTCTATGGTTTTTTATAGTTTGAGCCTCGTCCAAAATCACCCTAAACCAACTCACTCTAGCCAGTGTACCACAACCAGGCTCTAAATCAACTGTATTAATTCCTTTCATTGTTTTCTTCCCCTTATTCTTTCCATGTGTGCTTTTCTTGTTCTTAAAGGAAAATCCAGCAGAAAGACCATATCTTTCGCCATTCTTATGTTCATCATCATCCTCTTCCACTACTGGTTGTTTTGGAACTTCATTCATAACAATAGCATACGTCGTCAAAACGACGTCATATGTTGCCAATTCAATAGGATCCCTAGTCCTATTGCCTCCATGATACATCAGTACACTGAGACTCGCTTCCTCTGTAACCTTCTCAACAAGCTCCCGGGCCCACTGTCGAAGAACACTAGCTGGGCATACCACCAATGTTCCTGCAGCAGGCCTCTTTCTACGAAACTCCTTATTAGTACTTGAATCATCAGGCTCAAAACTTTGTTTTGATTCCTGAGTGGTATCTGCATGCTCATCATCGTCGTCCAAGTTCAAGGCTTGAGCTTTTGTAACACCCACATCTTTAGCTTCAGTGTTCTTCTGCAGATGCTTCTGTATCTGTATAATTGCAATCATTGACACAGTCTTACCAAGGCCCTGTTAGATGATATGTAATCAATGTAAGAAAGTTCCAAGAAGTTATAAACATTAATGTTAATGAGTTAACTAATAACAATAACCTGATCATCAGCAAGAATTCCACCCAGACAATGTACACTAGCAAGCTCCTTTTGAAGCATCCAAGCCAATGCTATCCTCTGGAGGTTGAAATTGTGGTGACTAAGAACCAAAATACCAAAAGAAATGAAAACCCCAGAAACTAAACAGAAGCTTACCTGGTGCCTGAGCAGAGAAACTGATAGAAGACCTTCAGGCAGTGTCGCTTCCTGCTTGGGCTGGTTTAAATCCTGCATGGAAATTACAAACATATAGTAATATACATATACACATTATGCTTGGATACCATGTCAAAGAACCAAAACTCATCAAAAATCTAAAGTTGTGGTTAGAGGTCCATGAAAGGTCTAATGCTCTAAAACTTCAAATACTACATACACACTAAAAATGTGAGCTTCCAAAGGTCCATTTTATGGCAAGTTAAACCCCTTCAGTTTGCAATACGCACTATTCAGAACTCATAGTTGTTTACAAGTTCAGTTACAACCTAGTGATGACTGGAAGACAGTAAATTAGGGCACGACCAAAACAGAAAGTGAAGCAATTACTTGAAATTATGTCCTCACAAAAAAAACATGCAGATGTGTAATTTTGAAGGTAGTATCTCAATGACAGTACTCACATCAGCTCAAGCTGCATATGCAAAAGTAGTCTTGAGTTCCCACGACAAACAATCAAATGGGGAAACAGAAGTGAATAAAAACTTCACATTAACAAATATTATAGCACATGCATTTTGATTGAAGGTGCCCAAGAATACCTGTAAAGCAGCTTCATAAATCAGCCTTTCATCGGTCCCTGCAGCTTTGTCTTCACCCACCCCAGGAGGATGGAGAGGATTGCTTGGCCCTGCATATGAAACACCTTGAGCAGCTTTTCCATGCATCAAAGATGGAGGTAGTATTCTGTTTCCCTTGTTATCAGTGACAACCAGCTCATTGCCAGTACCCCTGCTCGAATGGTCATTTGTATAGATGGCAGGTGCTTCTTTTGGACTTCTCCAAGATAATTGAGAAGATGATTCATAGGATTGACGAATCTGACTGCCACCAACATTCTCCACTAAATTGACTGCTCTGGAAGAACCAAGAGAATGAAGAGAGGGAAGTGTCTTCTTAAAAGTCTGTTGAGGATAATGCTTGTCATGATCTGTGTCAAACATGTAAAATTTATGCCACCATTACAAACCTTGCCTAAAATTTCAATGACATTGTATAATCAGATTACCATTTCTATAATATTTGAAACTATCATTGGAAGATGCCTGAGAACTTGACGCCCCAAACCTATCAGGACGATTGGGATTCATTGAAGAGCTGGCATTCTCTCTGTTAAAAGTAGAAGAGCTTCCATTTGCAAAGGATCTTCTCTTTGGAGAAGGGTCCGTTGCAAAAGGACGGCTGTGAACTGTAACATTTAGTAAAGAAAATTATAACCAGCCCAGCAAAATAGGAAAGAACAAAAGAAACAAGAACTGGAAGTATATGTGAAACTAAACTATCTGTTACCCGAAGCCCATGGTGGAAGAATTCTAGAAGCAGAAGATGCAGAGTCCCTTGTAGGTGACTCATCTCTGTATTCATCGATTGCTCGTAACTCTGAATCTTCACTAGAATCGTCAGAAGAAATAACAACATCTATAGAAGCCATCCAAGATATTTTTGGAGCAAACCTATGACTGATTGCAAATATATCAAACCTTGAGAAATCTGATAATAGACAAGGATCTAACCCGTAACGACTGCAACTAAATGTGATAAAATTTATTGCCAGAAAAGGTGTTCCTAAAGTCCAATATGTAATCCAGTAAATTTGCACTGTTCAACATGGTGAAGTACAGTGCATGTTTACTAACTGGAAAAAATGTCTGATAACATACAAAACAGAAAGCATGTTTACCATTTGTGTTTTACAGATTCAGAAAATAGAAACTAGAAAACATGTTTACATTGTTTGTATTCCAAATTTAGATAAAGGAAAACTAGAGAAGTCCTTAGTTAAAACTTAAAATTTTCTAGAATAGAAAACAGTTTTCTGAAGTTATAAGAATCTAAAACTGATAACCAATTTGTTGGGATCGCGCGTGCCTTCACTCCAACCCTGCATTAGTATGATAATGTCTGCTCTGGGCCAAGCCCTCACGGATTTGTTTTTGGGCACCTCCCAAAAAGGCCTCATAGTAATGGGTTGGGTTGGACCAAGGTTTTGAAAGGCGAAAACGAGCCTCGGGGCGGTGGAGAAAAATGCCTTGAGGCGTAAGCCTCGAGGCGGAACGAGGCGTAAGCCTCGGTTCAGTTTGAAAAAAACAAAGCTAAAATGAATACTCCATGGTAAAAACAGAATACATAATCCATAATCATGATGCTGAAATCTAAAGGCTTCAATTCCTGATTTTTGCAAAAAGTAATACCCAATCTTAGTTTTTAAAATACAAAAAAATTAAGAAGAGAGAATTACTCTAAAAAAAATTAAACAATAACATAAAATACAAAGTCACAAATGCCTCAAATCTGTCTTCAAACATGATAAAATGGATAAAGTTTCATGATTTTTACTTCATAACCAAAATTAGACATGTTTATTTCCAATATATAATACAATGAAATTTTTAGTTAAGCGGCCTTCATACGAATCGCATGGATGAAGAGGGAGAGTAGTGCTGGGAAAAGGGACAGAAAATTAAAGTTGGAATAAAAACTTGAAAAAAATTGAAGGTGAAGTAATTAGAATATGAAGCAATTTTTGTCTATAAAAAAGAATATGAAACAATTATCTTATTAAAATGGAGAGACCGAAGAAACAAAAGGTGCGTCGTAGTCTCGTAGATGGGGTGTGCTAAAGTTGAAGAAGATGGAGAGGCTGAAGTAGTGTGCGAGAGAAGCTGCATTGTGCTAGGTTGAAGATGGAGGCGCAGAAGTACAAGTAAAAGAAATCTTAATTTATCAAGTGTAAGAAGTTTTTAACAAAAATCTAATGCCCAAGATTTTTTTAAAGGCCCAATTGCTTTGTACGGAGTATCATTTAACCCATAGGTGCTGAAATTTTAATTTGAAGCGAGGCTACCGCCTCAGTTTCGCCTCACCGCCTCAACTGCCTCATACCGCCTCGGCCTGGCAAGGCGTACGCCTCACATACCCTTATCGAGGCTTTACGCCTATGAGGCTTAAAAGGCCCGCCTTACCGCCTCGAACGCCTTTTAAAACCATGGGTTGGACCTATATATTTTGGTCTATTTTTCTCTCCTCATCCGGTGGGATTAAGTTTGCATCCTAACAAACTTCCCCTCAAACTAAGACCACAAAACTTCGTGACCTCCCCTTCAGCAATTATCAATTTAATCTGCACACCATCTTGCAACGCCGCTACACACCTACGAGACACGCCGCTCGACCTCCTATTTCTGGGAAGACTTTCGACACAAGGTATACCGCAGACCATCAATCTGCTAAGGTCACACCATTAACACCAAACGGAACACGCCGCCCGACCACCACTTATCAGGAAGACTTTCAACACAAGGAACCACCTGCAGACCTTCAATGATGTTGTCACACCGGGCACACTGAGAACTCCGCACAACGCATTCCGCCACTCCTGCCCGGCCGAACCAAAGCTCCAATACCACATGTTGGGACCGAGCGTGCCCTCACTCCAACCTTGCATTAGTATGATATGGTTCACTCTGGGCCAAGCCCTCACGGATTTGTTTTTGGGCACCTCCCAAAAAGGCCCCATACTAATGGGTTGGGTTGGACCTATATATTTTAGTCCATTTTTCTCTCCTCATCCGGTGTGGGACTCAGTTTGCATCCTAACACAATTCACCATTAGCAACTACACAACCACCTACATAATAAACTGTTGGTGATTGCAACCACCACCCCTCATGACACATGCAGACACCATGATAACTATCACACCAACAAGCAACTATCACTATTATTAGTGTCATCAATAAACAGTACTCCCAACAAACACCACTGTGGACATTTGCAACGAGCACTTATCACAACCATCATCGACCCCCCCCCCCCGTAACCACGGCTAATGTTAGCAACTAATGCCAACCAGAATTGTCACCAAATAGTGCTGTCATTGTCAATCGTCGTCATCACCATTATAACCAACAACTGCGGCTATTAATAACCGACCACCACAATTGATCTTGACTTTCCATGTGTTAAATTTGAAACATGTGATGTGATATACTCCCTCCATCCCACAATTTTCTTCCTTGCTTTTTCACGCTCTCGAATGCACTACTTTGACCAATAATATCTTTATTTTATATACTCCCTCTGTCCCAGTATATTTGTCCAGTTTGATTTTTTTGAGTCAAATTGGACAAACTTTGAGTTTCAATTAAATAAAAACCGTAATGTATTTTAACATAGAAATGACTTTATTGGATTTATCGTATTGAGAACTTTCAAAATTGTATTTCATTATGCTAATATGCAACATAAATTGAGGATAATTAGAGTTCAAAGTTTGTCCAATTTGACTCGAAAAAGTCAAACTGGACATATACACTGGGACGGAGGTAGTGTAATTTTATATTATAAAAATTTGATATTTTAAAACTTTATTTCAAAATCAATCTACTAATATGACATTTATATCATAACTCAGGGGGGTTTATTCAATATAGTCTTTTGGATTTTTTGCATTGTAAAACTCTATAGGTATTCAATTAGGAATTTAAAAAATCATTTAAAATCTAAGTGTATTCAATAATAATTTTTAAAAATCATTTAAAATTTGGGTGTATTCAACTAGGAGTTTAAAATGTCTGTCTAAATCAAATGGTATTCAATATTTTATAGATTTTCATAGAGTTCATAAATGATGGATTCTAGTGGATTCTTGAGTGCTTCTTATAAATACAAATCTAGGAACAAATCTTCTGTCGTACCTAGAGATTTTGAAGCCAGATTTGTAACAGAAGCTTCTACCTTTTTCTATCGACTACTGTGCATCTCTCTCATTGGGGATCTCCGATCTCCCTTCGCCGAAGTTGGAGAAGCCCGTCGGTTGAAGGAGGCAAAGAGGAAGACGATGCGTGGTCGCTGCTGGTCTAAGGTGGGCTGGACAAAACGAACGAAATTCGGGTTTGTTGTTCTGTGTTTATTGGAGAATTTGGGTAGCCGGTCATGAGAGTCCATCTTTTCCGATCGATTTTTAATTGTGTATTTGTATTTTTAAAGAAAAACATGTGTTCTTTGTTTATTTGAATGTCAAATCGTAAGAGTCTATTTTTAATCGTTAGTTATTTTTTTACCAATCTTGTAATCAATTTTTTTAATTAGAACAATCTATAGACATTTTAGAATATAAACAAATCCAAATGATAAAATACATTAAAATCTAGAGTTTATATAGAAATAAAATACTCCATGGAGTTTACACAATCCATTGATTTTAAGAACTCTGACATAATCTTTTAAAATCCGAATTGAATGCACCCCCCTCAATATATTTTTCTGTATTTTATGGTCAGAGTTAAAAACTTTTGACCAAGAAAAAGCAATCCGGAATAGAATTCTATTCCGAACAAAGGGTACGTGTGTCAAACTCTGGTCTTACAATGTTATAGGGGTGAGCAAGTATCGAACTGAAACCGAAATTTCCCAAAAAAACCGAGAATACCGAACCGAAAAAGTACCGAGAACGAACCGAACCGAACCGAATGGTTGGTACGGTATTTGGAAATGGTACGAGGTGATGTACCATACCGAAAATCCCGAACCGAACATATATACTAAAATATTATAAAAAATAATACCCCGGAGTAATATTTTTATATTCCTTCACTAAATAATATGGAGTAGTTTTTTAAAAAAAATTGGTTCAAGTTCTATTATGTGTAAATTATACTTTTATTTGAGTTTTAGTTTTTGTGTATGAACATAAAAGTATTCACAATTTTAGTTTGTGAAATATAAACTAAATTTTGATACGCATCTCTTGCATATAAATATTCATTATTTTTAATTTTTCATGTTTTTTTATTTAAATTCACTTTTAAATTTTCAAAAATAAAGGGGCATTGTTAAATTTTAACGTGTAAAGTAGATATGTATATTCATCCGGATTTGTACTGAAATCGATACCGAACCATACCGAATCGATATTTCAGGATCGGGATTGGGATCGGTACGGAGTACAATTCCATACCAAACTAAAAAATTTGGTACGGTATCGATACGAGCTAAATACCGTACCATGCTCACCCCTACAATGTTATACGGAACAGATTGTTGGACGATAAAGAAAACTCGTGTTTGTCAACTTCAAGTGTCAGAGATGAGGATGCTGAGGTGGATGTGTGAGGCTTACAGTAAGGGGCATGAGAAGGGATAGGGGTAAACCTAGGAAGAGTTGGAAGGAGGTGATGAGACAAGGAATTACAACTTCAGGATCTTACCGAGGATATGATAGTAGATAGAACCTGGAGATCTAGGTTTAGAGTAGTTGGGTGGACCTTCGGGCCTTAATTTGTAGTTTTTATGGGTGCATTTTTACTCTAGTTTGCTAGTGTTGGTTTGTGTGCTTCATGTTTCTGTGTGCCAAATATACCCTTATTGCTCTTACTTTATTCGTGTCTTTGGTCTGCATGCACACATCCTCCCCAGACCCTACTTTATGTGGGAAACTAGGGTTATTGTCGTGTGTGTGTCCCCTATGTAGAAGAAGAAAAATATTTGGAAAAAAAATATGAAACAAAACATAACTCCAAAAAGAAAGAAAAAAACTAATGAAAGCCTTCTGCCAGAAGCCTATGAGAGTCAATGCAAAGAGAAGCAGAACGCAGCGGGTTGCGTGAGAGTTGAAGGAAGGGACGATGGAGAGAAGGGAAGGACTTATGATTAAAGAGGCAAAAGAGTAGGTAAACAGAAGCGTCAACCCTATTATAAAAATACGGAGTATTAAACATTTAGAAAATGCTTCATGATACGCGCCTTAGAGCGCCTTGTCTTGCATCACTTTATGCGACGATGCGCAATCGCGATTAGGCACACTTTTCGCAACTATGTAATCAGATCTTGATGATGCTTGTCTTCTTCATCCTCAACTCGGAGTAACGATTACACACACACCACACCCAACGGTGACGCGGAACCAACTCTAAAGTCGACCCTCGCAAAGACTTATCAATTTCTTCTCAATACCTCTAGTGGTGTGGTCCACTTACCCAAATACTAGTTCATAGAGACTGGGTTACTTAAATTGTTTTAGCTCTTGTGATCACAAGATTTGAAGTGTTCTCCTGGGAGCCAGCATTCAGAAACCAGTCCCGGCAAAGAAAAAACATTGCTTTGTAATTATATTCTAAAACTCCATTTTGAAATTGATATTGTAGATTATGTGTCTTTCTTTTTCAATTGACACATGTGCAATTACAAATGACTGTTCTACTAACGAGATTTTCCTAACAATTACACATTCACCAAGAATTTTTCCATCGAACTATTCCCAAATCAATAAATAAAGATTAATCCAGATATCGAGCTTACAATTTGTCCAGATTTCCCAGATTTCAAGTTTTTCCATTCAATTATTCCCATTGTGATTGGTCAAGTTTTAAAATTGTTTCTTAAGAATTGGAATTGCACATGTAAATAAAAAAATAAGCATAAATTACGTCTCTAAGTTTCCATTAAACCATTTCCTAAAGGCACACACAGTAGAAAAAAATAAGCATAAATTTTAAAAAATTAATGAATAACAAAGAACTGAGAACAAGTGAGAAGGCTGAGTAATGGCGACTGAAATTACCTGGGCAGGTTGAACAAGAAACCGAGAAGAGCAGCGGCGAGTAGTCTGCATAGGCCGAGATGGGATAGAAACTGAGCAGCGGAGAGGGATAACGGAGAACGGAATCTGGGATTTAGGGTGCGACCGTGCGAGCCGGATTATCAGTGGAGACTGGAGACCACTGGGAAGTGGCGTTTTGGTTTGCTCTCAAATACTCCGTACTCTGTAAAATAACAACTACACGGGTACACGTACAAATACTTGCCATTGTTTCTCCTGCCTAAAAATTAAGGAGTACAAAAAAATGTTAGGGGTACACCAAATACTTAAATAGTCTATCTCGTTTGTACCTCGCTCTATCCACATCATACAAAAGTTAGCCAGAAAAAAAATTAAAAATAAAAAAATGAAGAGTAAAGATGCATGGTGTATAAATGAGGTACACCAATGTACTTCGACATTTTATTTAGTTTTTTATTTTCTTGCAACTTTCTACATACGTTGATTATATATATATATATATATATATGGCTAAAGTATAATTATTAACATAAATATCCTAATATATTTATCCGGTTAAGCTAACATGACTTAAGAGTCCCAACCCGAGAAGAGAATTGTGGGCAGTAATAGGCCGAGCCGATCCGGACTGGAGAAGTAATGGGCCTCATTAGAAACAAATAGGATTAGACATAGTTAATTGAGAAAAGGTTTATCAAAATATTCTAAGAAAGACGTTTTAGGATTAAGAAGCTTGAATATGTATAAATCTCCCAAGACGGGATCGAAGAGAGAGGTCTTTTCTTCTGATACTTAAGATTCAATATTCTTGTCTCTTATTTTAATATTATTCCTGAATTACTGTGAGATCTACAAAAATTTTAATTTGTGGGGTTTAACTCCATCATTGGTGCTTTCATTGAGAGGTGAGTGAGAATATTCAAGCGTGTTCTTGAGCATGGCAGGAAGAAAAACAAAGAATGGTAACAAGGTTCACCTGACCTCCGCATGGGGGAGGAAGGGAGTTAGACCTCGAGTCGACTTCGCGGGAAGCAACTATGGGAAACATCCAACTCCACATTATGCAAAAAATTAGAAAATGTTTCCAGGTATATCTATTATATTGTGCTGATCCCAAACGATCCATCAGCAGTTAGGCATGAATTGCGAACCCCTGGACTATCGTTGGATCCAGAAAAATTTATGAACGAACGTTTGACAAATTTTCAGATTCGTGAAGAGATTGAAGTAGAGAATTTGAGAATAAAGAAGTACAACGAGGTAGTTAAGCCTGAACGGCCATATGGGGACCGGGTCTCCAGGGCCAAGATGGTGACCTAACCACCATATCTTAGAACATGGAACAACCACGTGACGCAGAAGTTCCGAACCAAGTGGATAGGATACGACGAAGGTTATCAAGACGAGAGAAAGCAAAAGCAAAGATGCATGGTGGGAAACGGCTTGAGGTGGCGTGGTTTTCAAGAGACTTTATGTTTAGGTTGCAAAAAGGTTGGAAAGGAACCCAATGACTATCCAGGTCTGCAGTTGGGATACCCAGAGCAAGGTTAGATCCTCTAAATAAGATGGTAGTGCCTAAAGGAAGGACAATGAAGTGCAGAGCGTCAAGCGGTTGCCATGAGCGCAACACCTTAATGACAGCCAACAAGAATGTTTTGCTAGAATGAAGGACCTCCGAGAGAGAATTAAGAGGTTACAAGTGAAGGAGGACATTCCAAAAGGCCCCAAACTAGGTCTTTAGGGAGATACTCCATTCTCGCGGAGGGTCGTGGCCTACACATACATACCCCATGGGGTTTAAGGTATCGCCCATGAAGAGGTACAATGGGGAAACCGATCATGAGAAACATTAAAGGTGTACTCCAACAACATGCATGCGGTAGGAGTGGAAGACGAACTAATCTGATTTGTAGATGTTTCATGCAAACACTCGATAAAATGGTTGCAAGATGGGTTGAGTCAATTCCCATGCAGAGTATAAATAATTGGAGAGATTTACTAGCATATTTTAGGGAACACTTCGCGAGGAGTTACAAACTAAATAAGAATTTCACCCACCTCGCCTCAGTCACGTATAAGAAGGGTTAGTCGTTGAACAAATTCTTCACTATGTGGCGAAAAGTGTCTTGAGAAGTAGAAGGGACAAGTGACAAGTCTTGTTTAGCATTGTTCACATCTTCCCTCCTAAAAGGCCCATTCTGCACCAACCTGACCACTCACCTGGATGACTTCTTTTAGAAGAATGGGATGAGGAACCAAAAATAATCTTGGAACATCATAGAAATATGGGAGTAAAAAGGGAAAATCAAGGAGAATGGTTTCCCCAATGGACCAAAGAATGGCCCGGTCAGAATTCTCGTCAGGGCATCGAAAAAATGACCTCATTTACCCACCTAATTGGAGAAATATTGGATTATGCTAGTTAAAAAGGACTATTCACATCCCCAACTTGGCCCAACAAGGTGTTAGAGGTGGAAGTACAGGTAAATGGTGTGAATATCATCAAAAGAATGATCATAATAGTAATGACTGCTATACTTTGAGCAATGAATTGGAAAAGTTGATCTAGAGGGGACATCTTTGATGTTTTGCGAGAACTAAAGAGGAGAACGACAACTCCTGAAGGAACAAGGTTTGGAAACAAAAAAGAATACTAGGTGGCCTGTGATGATTCTAGGACACTTGTGGGTAAAAGGCATCTCGCCTTGGATGATGAGAAAGAACCGACCAAGGGAAAAGCTAAGGGACACCATGGCTGGATTTACATCATTGGAGGCAATGCCTACGGAGATACTGCTATCTCCCGAAAAAAGTGGGCCCGCAATTTTTTGGTCTCCAAGGTCCAGGTCCGGTAGCAAAAGAGATGAAGGCTAAATCAAAGCCCTTGTACTTTACTAATGCCGATCTGCCCGAGTTTTGTAGATTGCATATCGATACATTGTTCATAAATGTGGACATTTAGGACCTAGTAATCCATAAAATGTTGGTGGATACCGAGAGCTTGGTCAACATCATGTACATAGATACATTAAGATGCTTGGAAGACCTGTCAAAAAATGACCCGATCTGTTTTTTACCCGAAACCCGACCTGAAAACACTGGGTTCTGAATAAAGATTTTGATTACCGAACCCGAAGTAGACCGAACTTGAAATGACCCGCTAAAAATGGGTCAAACCCAACCGAACTCAAACTCGACCTGACCGATCTGCTAAAGTAAGAATTTTTCGAAATCATACACTTTACTACTCGTTTTTAATGTATAAATTTATATTTTTAGACAAAATTTTAATAATTTTGCATCATTATCTTACCTTTTCCAAAACTTAAGCATTTTTAAATTCCTTATATTGATTTATATATCTAAAAATTACTTCAGAGTTTAGAATAAAATAATTGTATAGATTTAATACTTTTTTTGATATTTTGAATTTATTTAATAGAAAATGTAAGTGTTAATGTTAATTTAAAAATTTAAAAAACCAAAGTCATAACCCGTTGGGTCGACCCAAACCTGATGACATTGGGTCATGAACATACAGTTCTCAACCCTAACCCGAAATAACCCGAACATGAAGTGACCGAACCTGAACCCGACTTGACCGACCGATTTACAAGCTCTAGTGCTTGGTTTGCAAAGACCTGATCTTCGGATGATTCACATCCCACTTATGGATTTACTGGTGATTCAATAGAGGCTAAAGGGGTAAAAATTTTCCGGTTGAGATTGGGGACACCAGGCGATCTAGAAGATTGATATGGAATTCGTCATGGTGAAGATTGCTTGTGGTACTAACATAATCTTGGTTCAGCCCGCACTCAATGATCTAAAGTGTGTCATCTTGGTTAAACACCTTTGTATGAAATTCTTAGACCCAAAAGGGGTTGGCATTGCCCGAGGGTGTCAGAAATATTCTCGGACTTGGTATGTTTCTACTACCAAAGAAATCATGAAGTATCACACCCATTAATGAGGTGACAACTCAAGTACCTCAAAGCTGAGGGCATACGACCCCAAGTTGAGGTCGCTAGTGAGATACAAAAAGTTCCTCTAACCCCTAGCTTTCTAGAGAGGAAATTCAAGATTGGTTGTGGTCTACACACTCACCTTATAAATGATATTATTCTAGTCCTCTAAATCTTCTCAAAGGTGTATGCTTGGAGCCTGGTGAATATGATGGGATTGGCTTTCAAGATTGTGGTCCACCGGCTGGATGTGATATATAGATCACGAATGGTGAAACAAAAAAGGAGGCATCTATCACTTGAAATGAGGGAATTTGTGATAAAAGAAGCGGTGGCACGTCTAAAAATTAGCCATGTATATAACCAAAAGTCCAATTCTTGGAGTGGCTCAAAAATGTGGTTCTTAAGCCCAAGCTTCCAAGTTGGAGGATGTGCATGGACTACACTGATTTGAACAAAGACTACCCGATGGATCTGTTCTCGTTACCTAACATTGATGAGATGGTGGACAAGACAGCCGAGTGTGAGCTTATGAGTTTCATGGATTCATTTAGAAAATTTTATCAAATCCGGATGCACCTGGATGATGCGGATAAGCTTGGTTCATGACCCTTGAAGGCATTTACCAGTATTTAGTAATGGCTTTTGGGTTGAGGAATTCTGGAGCCACCTACACCCAAATGGTGTGAAAGTGTTTTGTAAAGTATTTGGGAATACAATGGAGGCTTGTGTTAATTACTTGATCACGAAATTCCATAGTTGGAGAGATCATGTGGTAGCTCATGTTGAGGTTTTCACGATTATAGACAAAGCTAATCTAAGACTAAAACCAAAGAAGTGTATGTTTGTTGTCCAAGATGGAAAATTTTTGGGACATATGGTCACCATGCAAGAATGTCATTGAAGCAAACCCAGATATGCTGCAAGCCAGGCAATGTTAAAAAGGCGCAAAGGCTTACGAGATGATTGGCGACCCTAAATTGTTTCCTTTCAAACTAGGCGGAGAGGAGTTTACCCTTATTTAAAATTATAAAGTAGAAGAAGACTTTAGAAATGACTATGAAATGCCAAAACTCTTTTGAAGAATTAAAGGAGAATCTGGCCCATCCCTTGGTTTTGTCCGAGCCAAAGCATAGGGAGGTTTTGGTAATGTACTTAGCAGTGACAGACTGTGCAGTTAGCACAATTCAAATGTGGGAGGAGGACAAGGTCCAACACCCGGTCTATTATGTAAGCAAACCCCTTAGAGGTCTCGAATTACAGTATCTCAAGGTGGAAAAGGAAATGCTAGTGATTTTTTGGATAACAAAGAGGCTAACCTTGTATTTTCAAACTCACTCGATAACGGTATTGACTAATTAATCCTTGGCACCGTCTCCTCCCCGCAGCCCATCGAATGCGCTGACTTGGACGATATGTTCTGGTTTCGCCCCTCGTGTCCCAATCGTTGGAACGCCAATTGCCTTGACTCTTTTGGCTGGACAACTTTGCCCTTTAGTTTCTTCTGGGCTCTGGGCACATCCCAGTCCTTGTCCTTGCTGTGTACTGAGTGCACGTCCCCGTTAGGCGTGACCTCAGTGTGGGATTTGTGGGATCTACTCCTCTTGGATTGAGAAGGACCTGCCTTGTTTATTTCATCGGCTAGATTCGTCGGGATAGCCGACCGGATAACACTGGCTAGTTGAAATGGCGAAGGGTGCCACATCGTGTCTAGAAGGGGTGAATTTTGGGGCAAGGCATGGGGGTACATCTCGGGGATGAAAGGGGCAAATCCTCCTTGTTGCTGAAACATGAACATGAATTGTCCAAAGTTTTGGAGTGCCTGGGTGTATATTTGTAACACCCCACCCTGGATGACCCGAGTCATCCAGACTAGAGTGCTGGTAAAACCGGGTTACTTTGTAAAATATTATTTATCTGAATTATATTCTCTTTTTGATAACTGAAGAGAATAAAAAAAATTACTCGCGTAAGCTTAAAGTAAAACATCCACAGTTAATACAACCTTGGGTTCAAGCCCAAGAAAACAATGTAAATTAAGTTCAACGATTTATTCATTATTAAATATTAAATAAGAACTCCTTCAGTACGGCCTCCACGTCCAAGCTTTCCTCCTCAGCAATTGTTCCCCTTGCTAGTACCTGCGTGCAGTTAAACACTACACGCTCAGCATAAGCTGAGTGACAAATAACCAGTAGACATATATAACATGCAAATATATTTTAGAGCATTTTAAGTTATTTAATTCCAATGTTTTTCACATACATAAAAACATGAAAAAAAATCTCACTTTAGTAATTACTTGGGGATATTTAGAAAATACTAGACTTTTTTCTTCTAGGTTAATCAGCGGGGTGCAATTGACGTAGGTGGGAGGAGTAGCAAATGCGTAGGGTCAATTATACTTGCGAGGTGCAATTGACGTAGATGGGGGGAGTAGTTTGGGTTGAGACTTGGCGGGAGATTTACCAGAAGTAGGAATCATCAATTTCATGAACGGAGTTCCGTAGGGGGGCAATGGCTTCCGTAGCCACTGGATTCCAGTGGCTCTAGAACCGACCTCAAATCAAATAGATCTAGACTTTAGACATATCACTAGAGCAACTTTCTAAAATACGAATACTGTTATGAAATTAATGATTGTTCATTTATTCAATTAATCAGGCCTACTTTCTAGAATAGTATATTAAGACACTCATTGATGAGTATCAATTTTGTACAGTCCTTTCCACTTTATTTGTATTCATATCAAATCTCTCCACTATAAATAGAGGCATAATCTCTGCATTGTAATTACCATTAAAAATAAGAAGAAGAGTGATGAATTAATAGAGAGAAGAAATCAGAAACATATTATATCTATTCTCATAATCTATCATTTTACAACAAATACAAATTTAACTTAAAATTCATTTGATATTCAAATTCTTATTCAAAAAAATTAATTAGGAATTTCTCCCGGATTACATTCGTGTACAACCCGGACGCCGAACGTTTCAAGGTTCGCTTTCTTCGCATTCTCCTTGATTTCATTCTTTTTTATTTTAAACATGAACTTGATTATTCTTTCTCTAAGTTTTCGTCCCAAATCACTATAAACAAACTCCATGATATGATTAAGGGCTGTTTTTCCCATGTTCAAGCAGTGCATCTAAAAGCTTGGGAAAGTGTTTTTTTTTGTTCTTTTGGCTCAAGAAATTGAAGCAGATCAATTCCGCAACGGTTCTGAGAGGACAGTCATCTTATGGTATTCCATTGCTTAATCAGCTTAGTGGGATAATCATGATTGATCATCAGCATAATCCTGAGCAGTATGCTGTTTATTAGTAGTGTTTTGATCGAAAACTTCCTGTTTGATCGGTTGGTTGATTAACGTTTTGAGTCAATTGCCCTTGGATCATGACACATAGAGTCATTTTTGACGATGTTTTAGCTTAGGGTGAATAATGGACTGAAATGACACATTAAATTTCCTATTCTTCTAACTCTCTATGAAGTTTTGAGTAGCAAATGCGTAGGGTCTAACAAAATTGTCTTTGTTTTTTACGGAGTAAGCTGCGTACAGCCATACATCTTCACTCCGTGACTCCAAGCATAGCTCGTTGTTGTGGTGGTGGATCATATTAGCATTTTAAAAATACGGAGTAACAAATTGTTGTTCGCATTTTAGTTTATTTTTGTAGCATTTTACCAAGTTATCAAACATTATTTTTAAAGCTGCTAGCTACTAGTCAACCTGCTAATACGAAGTCTTCAATGCTACTCCGTATGTGCTATTTGCCAAACAGGCCCAAATGTGGTTGGTTGATTTTTCTAAATTATCCCATGATTTGGGAACTTGCACCCACAAGTTCTCTGTAAAGGTATTTTTTGATATCATGCTTTCTGTGTGTTTTAGTATGCTACCCTATGCGACCATTGTCATTGCTGAGATTGATTAACTATTGTGCTAAGTTTGTATTGCTGCAGTGTGTTTTTCAGAAGAGAAAATTGCATAGGACTAGCAGGAAATTGTCATCACTTGCTCTGGTACGGGCTTCATGCTTGATTTAATGGTCGGGATCTTTGTATGAGGTCATTGTATGCATATGTGAAACCATTATCATCATCAATATTTGAATTTCTCCAATATTAGTCTATAGTTACTCCGGCCATTCAAAATAGTGGCCACACTTGTGTTAGCACATAACTTTTCAAAAGTGAGATAATAAGAAAAGCGGGATGAGAGGAAAAAGGTCGGCGAGAAAAAGAATGGTGGGTCGGAATGGGCAGGTTTATTAAATTGTTATTTCAAAAAATGGACCAGGACAAAATAATATGAAGCAGACCAAAAGACGTGCAACAAGTACTATGAAACAGAGGGTGTAGTTCACAGAACAAATTCATGCAAAAAAAAGTATCAGAGTTTTACATTAATTCAACTTCTTGTTGCACCCTTTTCTATGAAAGAATTGTGAGTTATATTTCAAAATTTTGCCTTAGGTTCTTTTCCACTTGCATGCAAGTTACTGGATGAGTTTAAATGAGTGTTATTGTCAATTAGTCATGTCTCATTACACAATTGACATTGTAATATTAACTAGTGTTTTGATCCGGCTAGTACTTAGTAAAGTTAGAGTAGCATATAGATTTTGAATACTGTAAACCTCTATGAGTTCTATGCCCTGATGCCCTGTACACAAAGCAATTGTTAAATTGCACTCAGGAGTATAGAGAATTACTACGTAATTTATTGAAAGATTCATTTGACTTTCATGTTTATTTAACCATGAAATGAATATTTAGCTCACTTGAAATGAAAATATGATTCATCCAAATGAACTGAAAGATCATTTGTGATGGACATCCACTTTATTATGCATAAACTTAAATCTATACTAGAAACCCCAAGTCCATAAGAAACATGGAGTTTAATAGGATTGGAAACCATATAGAATCAGGAAAGACCTAATTATTTCCCATGTAAAAGCTCACACGCACAAAATCCTCAATCCTCTGAAATAGTTTATTTCAACCATTCATATTCATCTCAGTTGCTTCCATTAGTTGCATTTGTGACAATGCTGCAATGCATTTGCATGTCTTGACTCTTGAGCATATACCCCTGGGAAATATTTTCTTCCACTCGGATGATTTTTGTCAGTCCTGAGCAACAATGTAGTGGTATAAATACTTGTGTCATGTGTCTTCAAGAGATAGAATAGATATAAAACCCTGATAATATTTTCACATTGGTATCAAAGAAAAAATTCACTGGTGTGAACTGTGAAGAGTTCATTTTCGCAAACCACAACAACATTTACATTTACGTAGTCTGACCCCTATGTTCCAAACATAGAGCGGCTGTTTCCAGGCGACCATGATGAGCGTCGAGAGTTGCATTGACTAACTGCTACTGCACTATTAAAAGAAGCATGGGCGGTTTAAAGTGTCATTTTGGTGAAAACTTATGTAGCTGCAAATAGAGTAGTGGAATATTTCTCGAAAGTAGCAACTCTAAAAGGTCAATGTCATCCTTTTAAATGTCACCTTTGATGTCATCAGAAAACTTATGAGACTACCTTCGTATTATATTTACATATCAATACTTTCATCGAGAAGTAGAATATATATAAAGCTGATTATATTTTCGCTAGAATTATGACCGCCACAATTTTGCTCACTTATTGGCAATTTTAAGTGTTTATTGCTACACTTAAAAGTATCTTTGTCCACTCAAAAAGTAAAGTCCAAAGAGTGGTTTCCAAAATGCACCTCCATGAGATAGTTACAACACTCACGTTCTTCAATTTATCATCGTGAGAATTCGGATAGCTGTGGTTCTACTACCAAATAAAAACACTAGTTACTGTTTTTAAGTTTTGAGACATTGATTACCATATTTTAACTTACTCTTCACTTTAATGACTAGAACGCTGTATATGTATGCTTTATGAACAGTTTAGGGCCCCTAGTAACTCTGTGGTTATCCAGGGGACTTGTTCACACTGAACTGGAGATTAGTAACTGTTTCTTGATCTCTGTATTCTTGGATTTGTATGTATGCATCTGACAAATTACTTCTTCCATTTTCAGAAGCCTGCTTCTTGGAGCATTCATCTCTCACAAAGTGTACGATTTCAAAGACATTCTCTTGAATGCAGATGCTATCCATTTAGCTGTAATTCTTTCTTAACACCTAGCCAACCTCCTGACATTCCATATATAAAGAGTGTTGCTTCAACACTGACAAGGTATTGACTTCCACTATGTCATGTTTACAATGGCACACTTGATTTCATCTGTTCATTGTTACCGTTGACTTGATTGATTTGTTATAATACAACTTTATGAAATCTTGATAAATATCTTCTTTCTTGCAGATCATATAATGGTTTAGAAGTTAGCAGTACTGTTTTTAAGTTGATTCCAGCAGTTGGCACCATTATTTTTTGTGTATGGGGTGTGGGACCACTTTTGCGCCTTGGTAGAAATGTATTCCTTCATGTGAGTTTTTTGTTGCATTTCATGTTCAATCCTGACTTGATAACTTGGATTGTATTAGAATTTGTCACATTATCTGCAGAAGACTAACAGCAATTGGGACAAGAGTGGCACTTATTTTTTTATGACATCTTACCTTCAACCTTTTCTGTTGTGGACTGGAGCAATGCTAATTTGCAGGTCAGCTAGTGCAATTGCATTGCTTCCCTGGCTAATGCAATCAAGTACACATGCCCTGTTTTTAGTACCACATTCATGTGGGTATTTTATGGTTTATTTTTTAAATCTTGCAGAGCATTGGATCCAATGATGCTTCCAACAGAAGCTAGCCAAATAATTAAGCAGCGTCTTCTATATTTTGTCAGATCACTGTCAACAGTGTTAGCTTTGGCTTATTGTTTGTCTTGGTAAGAGACCTGTGATTCTTGCAATGAAAGTTCATAGCCTGAGATGCTGTCAATTCATTAGACATTGTGGTCCGAAGATACTGCCTTTCACTTCTTAGACTAAAATCTTGAATATTTACTGCAGTGTAATTCAGCAGGTGCAAAAGCTTTTCATGGACACAATTAGTCCCTCTGATACTAGAAACGTACACCACATAGCTTTTCATCTATTTCTGTTCTTAATTATGATTTTATATCCATTAATTATTGATCAGCTATATAACTATATTATAGAACTTACCCAAAAAGAAATAAAAAAAATTAAACTTTGATATCATCATTTCAATTTTCATCACTTGTGTAAGTTGTTTTCCCATTGTGTTTTTTAGGGGTGGCGGTCTTCAGCCTTAGATGCTCGCCCCTTCAATTTTATTTCCATTGACATTCTGCACTAAAGGTTTTCACAGTATCTGTGTCTTTCTTGTAGGTGGGATTCCAGTGTGCAGGAACAGCTTTATACGCTGCCATATGGGTTGCTGCAGTGTCATTGTTTATAGAATTGCTAGGTTTCTCTGCCAAGAAGTTGCTCACTGTTGGAGGGCTTGGGACAGTGCTGCTTACTCTTGCTTGTCGTCAGGTATGCTTCAAACCTTCTTGTGTGTTTGACAGTTCTAGCTTCAGTTATCATCTTCAGATATGAGTGTGTAGATACTTACATTGAAACGTTCTCTTTGTTTTTGATTCTTTCATTTTGTCATGTCCGGGTCTTGACCAATTTCCTTTCAAGTGTAATGATCCATGTGAATCGGCCTTTTGTTGTGAATGATGTGATTCGAACTACGATTAAAGGCACAGAGGTTTCTGGAGCTGTTGAGGTTTGTTTATTTTTCTCGTAATACAACTGTTTTACTTGGTTGTACATCCAAACTTAAATGGCATTAGAAAAATAAAGAGATTGTTCAAGCTCTATAATGATGTTTTAAGGCTTTGTTGTTGTTGTTATTTAAGCTCTATAATTACTACTCCGTATTAATCTGTATTTGGTTTACATTCCCTGACTAATAAATCTAGCAGATGCCTAGTAATTCTTTTCATTGATGTATCATCGCTAGAAGGTCATCCATAAGATATCGTTCCTTGTATAGTTGTATTCCATCTTTGTGTTATTTGTAACAACAACAACACTAGCGGAAAAAAACCTAGTATAATCCCCTCAATTGGGGTCTTGGGGGTCTAGATGTACGCAACCATACCCCCGTATAAAAAACAGACTCTGTTTCCGGTAGACCCTTGATGCATTGCTGCATTTACTTCCCAAAACTTCATAGGAAAGTAAGAAACAAGGGAAAGTTAATACTTTAATATGCCATTTTGATTTTATCAATTATGTACCCGAAGCTAAAACATTGCAAAAGATGATTCTTTGTGTTATTTGTGAAAATAAAATTGTTCGTCCTTGGTATGGTAGCATGTGGGCTGGTGGTCACCAACAATTATAAGAGGTGAATATGGGGAAGCTGTTTATGTTCCAAACCATCAGTTTACCGCTAATATTGTGAGGAATCTCAGCCACAAAAGCCATTGGCGTATCAAAACTTACCTGGCGATCAGTCATCTGGATTTCAGGAAAATCAAAGTAAGTCTGTAAAGAATTACGAGTCTGCTCAAGTGCATTGGAACTGGATTATGGCTCAAATAATGCATGAATCATGATACCATTTTTTTACAGAATATTGTTGCCGACATGCGGAAAGTTTTGGCAAAGAATCCTCAGGTAGAACAAAAGAAGTTGCATAGAAGAGTGTTCCTGGACAACATTAATCCAGATAATCAGGCTTTGACCGTGAGTTTTAATTCTTACCTCTATTGTTACGGCAATTTTTCCCCTCTTCTAAAACTGCATTTTCCCCCTTTCTTTTGAAAGAATCACTCGTTCTTTTTTTGCCTGAATTGCAGATCCTGGTATCTTGCTTTGTAAAGACCTCACGCACAGAAGAGTACCTCTGTGTAAAGGTGAAGAGACATTGCTACTATCCTTTCACCTAAATCCTGAAATGTCTATCTTATTTACTGAGCTCATTTGTTTCCATCTAGGAAGCCATACTGATGGATCTACTGGGAGTTATTCGACACCACCAAGCTCGATTGGCCACTCCCATCCGTACAGTCCAGACAGTTAGTGACACAGAGCTGCATAACATTCCACATGTTCATCCTGCTGGCCCCACCGATATCTTTCTCAACAAAGACTTCAAGACTACCAAGCAGTCAAATTCTCATTCAAAATCTCCTGATATAGATAATGTCATGAGAAACCGTAAAGGTAAGAGCAAAAATTCATCTGATGCTGAACAAAAAAGTATTTACTGGCCATCCATTTTATGATTGGTGCTCCTTCATTAAGCAAACATGCGCTTAATGTGCCATGTACAGTTTTTCTCGAAACCATTGGTTCACCTGCGTAAGGCTAAAAGCCGTATAAGTTTAGGTAGCTAAAAGCCGTCTACAAAGGAATGCCACCTTTCCTCTTTTTTTTTTCCTTTCGAATATACAACTTTATTTTCTTGTTTTTTTTTTCAATTCAAAATCTAACATTATGCATGTCATTTGGTTCATATAATTTGGAAGGAAATGAAAGGAAAGTAGTTTTATCATTTTCCTCATAGAATAGGAGGAATTTGATTTTCCTCCTCTTGATACATTTTGTCTTCTCATTTTCTTAACCTTCTATTTTTCTTTCATTTCCTCTCTAACCAAACAAGAAAAATTAACGGAGATGTATTCAATCTAGACTTTTTAAGATTTGTTTGAATTTTAAGAATCTATGAGTATTCAATTGAGATTTTGAAAAGTCATTTAAAAATGGATGTATTCAATTAAGATTTTCAAATATCCTTCTCAAATTTAAGGATCTAAGGGTATTAAAAAATTGGTAGATTTTCAATTTTTTTATAAAACATGGATTTTGAAGGATTTTGTAGGTTTGACTAAACTAAAACTTATTTACAAATCTCACCAAAAATGTATGGATTTTTGTGGGTAAATTTCACCAATGGTACCTGAACATTAAAAAATTGGTAGATTTTCAATTTTTTTATAAAACATGGATTTTGAAGGATTTTGTAGGTTTGACTAAACTAAAACTTATTTACAAATCTCACCAAAAATGTATGGATTTTTGGGGGTAAATTTCACCAATGCTACCTGAACTTTAGCTGGAATTTCAAAGTGGTACCTAAACTTCAAATACTTTCAAAAAAATCCCTGAACTTACACAAACCTTTCACTAAAAGTTCATTTGCCCGTTTCTAGGTTAACTTCCGGTCATTTGGACCAAATTAGAATTTTATATATTTTAAAATTTTCAATTTGACCCCATTTCTTTTATTCTTTTCTTCCGCTCCCCGCCGCCATCACACCACCTCAAACTCGCCGGAAAATCAACATGGTCCGATTCTGGCCGGACCAACGCCATTCTCTTGGCCCAAATGACTGGAAATTAACCTAGAAACGGGCAAATGGACTTTTAGTGAAAGGTTTGTGTAAGTTCAGGGATTTTTTTGAAAGTATTTGAAGTTTAGGTACCACTTTGAAATTCCGGCTAAAGTTCAGGTACCATTGGTGAAGTTTACCCGGATTTTTGGGACTTTTCTTCTGTCTCTAGTCCGTGAGGTGCAGGTCCTTCACTTTCAACCTTCATCTTCTCTCCTTCTTCTTCAACGTNGGACCAACGCCATTCTCTTGGCCCAAATGACTGGAAATTAACCTAGAAACGGGCAAATGGACTTTTAGTGAAAGGTTTGTGTAAGTTCAGGGATTTTTTTGAAAGTATTTGAAGTTTAGGTACCACTTTGAAATTCCGGCTAAAGTTCAGGTACCATTGGTGAAGTTTACCCGGATTTTTGGGACTTTTCTTCTGTCTCTAGTCCGTGAGGTGCAGGTCCTTCACTTTCAACCTTCATCTTCTCTCCTTCTTCTTCAACGTGTCGTCTTCCTAATCACAAACAAATTGTAGTATCCTTGCTTTGAATCGGGGTGTATCCTTCTTTCTCCAACAAATCAATTGTAGTGGATCTGTGCTTTGAATAAGGGTGGACACGGTACGGTTCCGAGACGGTTCCGGAACCGCCACCCCTAGGTACCGTTACCGTCACCAGACCGGACAATATCGATTCCAGTACCCGTAACGGCGTTTCCGGTACCGTACCGGCCGGTTTCGGCAACCCCCCCCCCTTTTTAAAATTTTTTTTAAAGTGTAAATGTGTAATTGTTAAATGAAATAGATCAAATAATGAAATAAAAGATCTAAACATGTAGTTCTTATTTAGATATTGTAAAATGAGTAATACTAATACATAAACAACTACATTTAATATCCTGATGGTTCAAAAAAAGCGACGAGGTAAAGAACCGTAAAGAAACCCTCGAAAGAGCTTATATATCGCTCACCTAAAAAACTAATTACATTAACATAAAAAAAAGTTTATAACTTATTTTTCAGAACTAGGGCTTCTATCTGTGGTTGCATTCATGTAATGTTCAGAATTGAATTCGTACCATGACTCTTGAGCTCGACGTCTTGCCAAGAGCCAATCTCGGTTGCAAACAAGTGTTTCAAGAGATTCAGCGCTAAGACAACTTCGGTAGTCGGTTAGAATGTTGTCGCTAGACTTGAATTCTTGTTCCACAGCTACGGTTGATACCTGGGCGGATAAAACTTGTTTGGCTAGCATTGTGATACATGGGAACATTTGTTCGTTCCGCTTCCACCATGCGAGGGCGTCAAAGTCCATGTCATCATCGTCGTCGTAATCGCATGACACCAATTGGTAGATAGCAAGTTTGTTGTGCGAGCTTACAGTTGTACCACCTGAACTCGTCGAATGCTGACCACACTTACCTTTTTTTGCCAAAAGCCCATCTACTATTTCTTTAAAACCTTTTTTTGCTTTGGGGGCGGAGGACGTGATGTTTTTTTCGGTGCATTACCGCATATTCCTTGAAATTCTTTAAATAAAGCCTCAAAAAGATCAATAGCATTACATCTTTCTTTTGTCTATTCTATTAAATGGTTGTAGTAATAATTATTTTCATCTAAAAAAACAAGTGTAGTAATACTTAATCAGAATTTTAAAATTTTCAATCTTAAAGCGAGGATCACAAATAATACGAATTTTATAAATATCAAGAATGTACAAATAAATTGGGTACCAGAATCGGTACCGGTACCACCGGTGCCGGTACCACCGGTGCCGGTACCGAAAAACTGGTACTGGAATCGGTACCGTGGAGGGCGATGTCGGTACCGATTCCTCGAAACCGGAGCAGCGGGTCTGTCGCCGGTAACGATACCATACTGGTACCGTGTCCAGGTCTAATTAATAGTCCTTTAGGCCAAATATGACAAAATATTTTTTTTCACATATAGTCTCTGAATGATCAATTATAAAATATTTTTTAAAAATTAAAGACTATATATATAATTTCTTAGAATTAGGAACTAAATACAGAATATTATCAATAATTAGAGACTATTTATAAAATTTTACTCAATAAAAAAATAGTTAAAAAATTGTCAAAATTTAACCACAAAAAAATCATTACAAGTTTTTTTGAGAGGTATAATTTTTTTAACAAGTAAGGAGTAATTTACTCCGGGAGTAATTTATACATCAAAAATCATAAAATTGAGTTAATAGGAATAATGTCTAAAATTCGAAAACTATCAAAAGTTCTTCTTCAGATCAGCTCTTGTTGTACGACAATTATTACAGAATAACGGAAATCATCTGGTGACTGGTCTTCAATTACTTCAGCGTTCTTTGTTTTTTAGCTTTGAAGAGCTCTGTAGTCGGATCGCACTTGCTCACAATGGAGCGGTTCTAGGGTTTCCCCTAACCCGCCTGTTCTGAACACAATTTCTGTGGAGAGAATTTGGTAAAATGTCTCGACAAATCACCTCTACAGCTTTCCACAAATCCAAGACACTTGACAACAAATACGTAATACTTCACTCTCTCTTTTTTGTTTTTGTTTTGAATTATTAGTATATTTCTGTGACTTTTTGATATTTCCTGGATTTTTTCTGTTGATATGAATCCTTGAGTTTTGGCTCTCTTGAGCTGCAATTTGTGGTTGAGGATGATGAACTCCTTTTTTTGTAAACTTGGAGTGTGAAATTTTGTATTTCTCTGTGGTTGTTTAGATGCTTGGAGATGAGATTGGGAAAGGAGCATACGGCCGAGTATATAAAGGTTTGGATTTAGAGAATGGGGACTTTGTTGCAATTAAGCAAGTATCGTTGGAAAATATCGCTCAGGAGGATCTCAACATTATTATGGTATCGTCCTTCATTGCCTCTAAACTCTATTGTTTAACACAAGATAATGACAAATTCAATTTTACCTACTTAACTGTTGACCCTAAGTATTGACTTGGGGTTTTTTAGTAGTAGTTGCTTCGGGGTTTGATTTGCTTATACTGTACATATCTAAGTCATGTATGCACTTCAGGAGACATTGCCTACAATACTTGGTATTATTATCTGTGCAACCATAATTTCACAACATAATTTTACTATCACGTAGTCCAACCAGAATGCGAAAAGTATAATTATCGTGAAAGGCATAATCTTTTAGTAACCCCTACCAGCTCTAGCAATCCTTGCCACAGCTCGTGACCACTGTCATCACCGGTGATCATTGCCACCACTTGCTGCCACCCCTGTAGACGATGACAATCTTAACGATCACAACCTCACCTATTCCTGCAAATGACAAATAGCAAAAGGAATGAAAAATTTAAAACTAGAAAACAGAAAATGGGAGAACAAAAGTAAATGCAATAACCGTCAAGTTGACTTCAAGCTCCAACCCTCAAAAGTAAATGCAACAAAAGTAAAATTCAATACACTTTTGCTGGTATGTGCCTCTGTGGGATATACCATAACACTTTAAGCAAGAATTAGGGAAAAACATTGAAACTTATTTTGTTTATAGGATGATACTAGATGATCCTTTTGTAAGGTTTGAGCTTTGTTATACCAAACCAATTAAAGCAAATTTTCCCTATAAGATGGGGTTAAATATTTGGATTACACAATTTGTTCAAGCTGTCTAGGGTCATTCTTTATATGCCTTATACCCGTGAGGTCTCATTTAATTGGGATGGGATATACCATGCAAAAGGAATTTGGCATGATTTGTATCCATTCATTGCAATACTATTTCATCATGGAGAACATTGGAGTGCTTCTGGAAACCATGTTTAGACAATTCGACCCAGTGCATGGTCCTTGCCTCTTGGATTTAGGTTTCTCTAAGCTATCGTGAATCAAAAGCATATATATGCTTTAGAAATGCAATTTTTCCAGGTTTCTATATTTGCAGAAGTATTATTGACTATTGAGAATGTCAAGTATTATTGAGAATAATATTCAAATCAAATGACTATTGTTTGAGAACCCGTGTCATTGAGAGAGAAGGAGGTAATTGAGAAAATGAGCATCACACATAAAAATAGAAAATAAACTATGAAGTAAGTTAGCAACACTTGCGTGAAATGCTCTCACATAGCTTGTTGTGGTGAGACCTCACTTTCTGGATCAGATTTAGTACTTTTGGTGTACAAACAACCCTTTTTCAAAATGCTCGTGAAATCTTATCTTTTCACAAGTGATAGAGTTTTAAGCCACCACTATTACGAGTAGTTTTTAGCTGAAAAGTGATAGGTCTCGCTATATCATAGATTGAAATTTGTGGCTCATTCATATTTTTTGTATAAGTAAATTTGGATTAGTTAAATGCGATGGTAATGTTGAGGGGAATAGAAGCATGCCAAGAAGAACTAAAAAGAATGCAAGGCCTAGGAAATTGGTATTTTGCGGTTGACATTTATAGGTTTAGGCTTTGGAAAGATTGTTTTTTAAAACTGTATTGATATCTTATCGGGTACAATGGTTAGCCATTTCCACTTCGGTTATATGTCTCCTACTCTCCTTTGTTTTTATTAGTATCTTACTTCCTTGTTTTTGTGAGTTCATTTTGTATCTCGTTGACTACGAAAATTGGGTGCATGGATGTTTTTGATACACACACTAGTGTTGTTATGCGCAATGCACGAATTATAGTGCCCAATATGTGTTTACATAAAGTAATGTATGTTTTTTTTGTGAAAAGTATGCATTTTTGTGTTTGATCGAACATGTTACGTTATTCGTAAGTCGATTGATAAAAAGCATAAAACATTCATATTCAATGATTAAACAATAGATTATGTTGTCTAAATCTTGGTTTGACCGTCTACTTTTTGAAATTTCATTAGAAGTGCTAAAATGTGACTGTCATACTGAGCACCAACAAAACACCGGGTATAAAGAATAGAAGTGTATAGACTTGGCAAAAAAAGACCTGAACTGTTTTTTACTCGAGACCCGACCCAAAAATATTAAGTTTTGAACAAAGGTAACCCGGAATGACCCACTAAAAATGGGTTAAACTTGACAAAACCCAACCTGACCGACCCGCTAATATAGGAATAAGAATTTTTCAAAATCATATACTTTAATATAAAATATAATGTTATAAAAATAATATTATAATTGTTTTTCTTTTCTTACTACTCATTTTTAATGTATAAATTCATTTTTTTACTAAATTTTAATGATATCACAAAGTTATCTTACTTTTTTTTAAAAAAATCTGTAGATTTCATTTTTTTGTGATATTGACACTTTGTCATAAATATTACTCCCTCCGTCCACCTAAGATCTTCTCATTACGCGTTACGAGGCTTGACCGACTTTATTTTCAATTACATTTAATTGATTATAGGAGTAAAATTTTAAAATAAAATTTATATAGTAATAAACTACATGAAAAGTTCTACAAAACTAGAGGTGACAAGACTATTATTTTACGAAATGACTAGTAAAAATGAGCAAACAAAGTGAGTAAAGTTTGACCTTGTGAATAGTGTCTGGGAAGATCTATGGTGGACTAAAAGTTTCAAAAAATAAATAAAGGTCATAACTAGCTGGGTCGACAAGAACTCGATGAAACTGAGTCATGAACTTGTATTTCTCAATCCGAACCAGAAGTAACTGAACCCGAACTCGATATGACCGGCCAATTTGCCAACTCTATGAGTGTAGTAGGGGATGATTTCACTTTACACCCTTAAAAGGTTACAAAAAAGTGAAATGCACCTTTGGAAATCATATTTGCTTCCACTTTACTTTATAAAGGCCAACGATGTTGAACTTCGAGCGAAGAACCATCACCTCTTATCTGCCATGGAGGAGGAGCATCTAAAAGAAAAACCTTTTCATAAACATTATGGTGAATCAAAACCATCCATATACTCATTTCTCATTTTCCATTAATTTTGTCTCACTTATTTGTCTTATCCTTCTCATCTATTTTGGTTTTGTTTTCTCACTTAATTATATCATTGTTGTCTAATTTTAGATAATCCTAGTTCTTTTATTGATTTGTATTTTGACTCCTTAAATTTATTTATTTTAAATACAATGGCCTGAATCACGTGGGTTTGGTATTTTTGAATTATGATACTAATGGCATAAAAAAGTACTCCCTTAGTTTTTTTTAAATCTTTACGTTTGTATATATTTTTAATGTTTGTATATGTTTTAATGCCATTTTATTTGAGAATTTATTAAACATCGTAAGATACAATTCAGTAGCTAAATTATTCTCCATCTGGAAAAGAATTACCCAAATATTATTCATCTAGTCAAACTCTATTCACTTCGATTATTTTAACTAATCATTTCATTAATACTCCCTCCGTCCCGCTCTTTTTGTCCACTTACCTTTTGGCACACCATCCAATGCACTTCTTTAATCCATTTTATCTTGTAATTTATATATTAAAAAATTATAGAAATTATATATTAATAATCTATATGTTAAGACAAATCAAACAAGATCACACATGACTATATTTAGGCTTACACATTGAGAGAATTTGATGAGTCAAAGTGCTTAGATGAACAGTTCCAAAAGTCAAAAGTGGACAAAGAGAGTGGGATGGAGGTAGTATATAATAGTTATTTTACGTCTCATTTTAAAAAGTCTCTTATGTAGTTTTTAAATATATACATTTTGTTTTTTAAATTTTACTCCTACAATCAAATAAATTGAGTTGAAAATAAAATCGGTGACACCTCGTAGACTCAAATGAATAATTCAATTCCAGACGTAGGGAATAAATGTTTTGTAGATTTCTTGATCTAATTTTTAAATATAATTTTATGGGTTCAATTTTTTTATGATATTCTAAACTCTAGTACCCGTAAGTTTTACAATAGTTCCAAATTTCATGTCAGGTTAATGAAAATAAAGAAAAAACATATAAATTAACCAAAATAAAATCACTTGAAAACTTGTATTGAATCATGTGATATACTTAAAAGAAAGCTGTGGAGAATGTGTCAACCCATCTCTCTAAATCGATTATAAATAGCTGCAATGAAATAGATATTGAAATTGGATACTCTAACACATGTTCTCACTATTATAATTTAATTGGGAGTGAACTTGATATTTTTTAAATTCAATTTGGAAATGGAAAACTTTAAACGATAGGCACGTACGGGAAATTCCTATGATAGCATCGTAGCAAAGTTGAATCTTATTTCGGGAGTCAATTTGGAAATAATCAACATTTATTCTTGAAAAAATAACGGTGAGATGGAAATCAAGCGGTGATGCACGACCTTCTCCGGAGATGCATAACGAGAAATCAAGCAATGGATAACTTTGGCTCCCTAAATCAAACCACGGTTAATTTAGGCTATTTTGAGCATTTATTATTGAGATATTAATTAGCAATGAATTGAAGATGAAAATGAATGCCTTGGATGTGATTCACACTCTAAAAGTAAGTTTGAAATAGTTATCCTAAGAGAAACGGTGTTAGGGGCATTGTGGGGAGTGAATTACATCGTACAACTTTTAAAGCTAAATGAACATGTTTTATGGATGGAAAAGGAGCATATTATTAAGGGGTACCTAACCCTCTTTCATGTTTATATATATATATATCTGTGTGTGTGTATATATACATATATATCTTGATGTTCAAATTCTATCACTATCTATCCATGAATGTTTATTGAGTTTTGTTAACTCTATGTTTTGATATGCTATGTTTAAAATATTCTTTTTAAATATTGTTGGACCTACTTTTATGAATTAACATAGGTTACTTGATTTAATCTATAGTTACTAACTTAAATTTAAATTTCCTGTCTTTTAAATGCTACTTTTGAAATTTGATTCCCCATTCTTGCTCTCCTTGGACAATACTATTTTTGTGATTGGATGCATGGATGATGCAGCAAGAGATTGATTTGCTGAAGGTTAGTATGCACTCTTATAGCTTTAGATATAATATATGGCACACTCATCCTCTAAACTTTTCTGAGCAAATTTCCATGAAGAATTATAATGATTTTTTATATGATCTAATCATCTCTTTTACAGAATTTGAACCACAAGAATATTGTCAAATATCTAGGATCCTTAAAGGCAAAGACTCATCTTTTCATAATTCTTGAGTAAGCTTTGAGCTTCTTTGTCATTTATTGTTTTTCTTTGGTGTGACAAGTATGGACACACACCAATGTACTAAGTGTCCTTGTGAAGGTATGTGGAGAATGGTTCACTGGCTAATATTATCAAACCCAACAAGTTTGGACCATTTCCAGAGTCTTTGGTTGCTCACTTCATTTCTCAGGTTTGGAGAGCAGCATCGTCTTGATTGTAAGATAGTATTATTTTAAGCACACTTCTTGAAGTCATCACCAATGAATATGGCCTTTAATTTTACTAGGTACTGGAGGGATTGGTATATCTACACGAGCAAGGTGTAATTCATAGGGATATCAAAGGTGCAAATATATTGACAACAAAAGAGGTATATTCACTGCATTTATTTATCGAGAACTTAAAGTGCTATTTCTTCATCCTATTTAGTGATTTTTTCATACCCTTTCTCTTCCACTCATCATAGAAATGATATGTTCTTTTTTGTGAATTCTTTTGGTAAAGCTAACTCCTTTTCTTGCCTGGTCTATGAGTACGATATGTATTATTTAAGTTTCTATTAAACTCCATTTAAGAGAAAATTGTTGTGTTAGTTGTCGTGCTAAGCACACTACGATTAGGGTTAATATTTAAGATTTCTCGGCAAATTGAGCTCGTTACAACTTACAAATATATTCAGTTCTTAGACCTCCAACAGACAGTGTGTCGATTACCAATTGGTAAGCTGAGTGCCTGAGTTGCCAAAGCTCATGGTGGTGTACCTGCACATGATCTTCTCCTAGGTGAGATGAAAATTGACTTCTATATGTTTACCCATCTTACAATATACTCTCTCCGTTCCAAAAAGATCTTTATGTTTACTGTTCACGTAGTCAAATGTTTTTCACTTTCTTTGCTTATTATTCGTTACTCAACAACAACAAGCGAGTTGGATTCCATAAGAGTAGGGTCTGGGGAGGGTGTGTGCCGGTAGGCCTTGCCCCTACTTGAAAGTAGAGAAAAGTAGAGAGGTTGTTTCCAAGAAAACCCTACCTCAAGCAACACAAATAATATAATCAGAGAAGACTTCCTTCTTTTCGTAACTCATTTGGTAAAGTGATATAGTCATGTCACCTCTTGTTTTGTAGAACTTTTGATATACTCCCTCCGTCCCAAAAAAGACTCCTTATTTCCTTTTTGGGACGGCCCAGAAATGACTCCTCTTTCCTTTTATGGAAAACTTGGAGTGGCTCACAATTTTTCTCTCCTTTTCATCACTTTCAACCACACATTTTCACTTTTCTTAAACTTGTGCCAAATCAAACTGGAGCCCTTTTTTGGGACAGAGGGAGTAGTTTTTTAACACATTTTTTTTAAATATACCAATATTGAAAAATTGAATTGAAAATAACTTCCGTCAAGCATGGTAAACCGCAATGTCAAGTTTATTTTGGGACAAAGGGAGTACTAAATTTGGGGCTATATGTAATGTTTAGTTATCACATATCTTAGTCATTTGTGCAACATCAACATATTGTAAATCATCAATTAGATGTCTCAACTATAGAATTTCGCCGTTAGCCAAGGCCACATCATGGCACTTTGCATGAACACAGGACGGATCAACTCCATTCAGTTTTCATTTAATATATTAGATAACCACAAACAAAGATATAATAACCCGATGCGTAGTGTGCATTTTGCAGATAACCTACCCAGGTAGACCTTGTGGCAATGATAATTAAAGCAATGCCTTTATTTTTAGAGTAATCTTTGTTTTGATGCCTTATTGATGTGTCTCATGCTTTTGAGTGTTGGCATATCATTTTTTGGCATTTCAATGACTAACACAAGGATTTCCTTAAAATGAATTTGAGGCCACAATGAGGTTCTGATTGTCATTTTGGTGTTGGTTCTTTCAAACGACCACTGATAGATGTCATAATAACAAGACAATCACAAACTTGCTGAAATATTTATACATTTTTCTAATACTTGATTCGGCTCTGACATTGTGTAAAATTAAGACAAGTGTTTCGTATTAATTGTGAATTAATCTGTTTGTAATGTCCTTTATTATGCACTAAGTTAGATTTACGAATGAATGCTTATTTGTTCTTAAAATTTTGACACAACCTTTTCTTATTTGGTGATTTGTTCAGGGTCTTGTGAAACTTGCAGATTTTGGCGTTGCGACAAAGTTAACTGAAGCGGATGTGAATACTCATTCAGTTGTTGGAACACCATATTGGATGGCCCCTGAGGTATATGGGGAGATGCATTTTTTGTGCTTTTGACTTGGAATTAGTGTTTACATGAGTAGATGCAACACTAGATGCATATGCATAATGATATTTCATTTCATGCATAGGGCCTTAAGATAAGCTGTTCTAAAATGAACTATTTGACAAAATTCCTAAAATGCCTCCAAATTTAATACATTGCATTTGAAACATATTTACACTTTTTGTAAGTAAATTAGTTTACAACTTTAATATGGAGTTATGAATTGAAATTTGAATACACACATTTCAATATCTAGGGTTAGTTTTTTTATTAATGATACTATAATTTGTGTTATGTATTTATATTCAAAACCGTATTAAAAGTAAATCTGTTTTATCTTTATGGATGGAGGAAGTAATATTTAGTTCTTCAGGTGATTGAATTGTCCGGAGTTTGTGCTGCATCTGACATCTGGAGTGTAGGCTGCACTGTTATTGAGCTTCTTACATGTGTACCCCCATATTATGATCTCCAGCCCATGCCTGCTCTCTTTAGGATTGTCCAGGTGAGCTTTTGTCAATGCTTATTTAAGTTGTTTTCTTTGTGCGAAAAATGTACATCAGTCGTCAGGCCAATGTTACAGAGTATTTTTTCTCTTTTGGATTTTGTGCACTCTCTTCATCTATTTTTCTAATCCTGCAAATTTTTATTCATTGTGTCAGGATGAGCATCCACCAATTCCTGATAGTCTTTCTCCTGCAATTACTGATTTCTTGCGGCAATGCTTCCAAAAGGTAAATGTTGTTGTGATTTTGAAGAATAGCCTTTTACTATTACTGATTTCTTGTGAGCGGACAAGGGAAAAAATGAACTCTGACCAGGTTTGTGGTTTTTATGTATTGTTTTTTGCCATGGGAGAATTTTCTATTAAGGACTTATTGCTCCATTTTTGAGAGAATCTGGATGACTACAATCTAAAATGGGAGACAATTATGAAATGGAAATGAGTACATTGAATGTCAGTAGAAATTGCATGTAAAGAACTCCATAAAAAAGACGTAAGATGGCTAACTAAGTGTTTAGAAGAGGCTGAGAGAGTGAGTTACATCCGTCTTACGATACTTAAATGTTCTTATTCCATGCCATAGCTATGCTTGTTGGTGTTTTACACTTTTACCATACATCATGACATTGGACTTCCAGGTTCAATGAAATCCATTCTTTGTTTTCTCTGACATTAGTTAGCTTAACTTACTTCAATTTTGAGAATTTAAAGAAGGCATTATTCGTCACTTGTCCTCTTTCTGGTTTTTTTGTAGATCATCTCCTAGGAGTGGTTGTGATGTTTGTGTTTGTAGATTTTGAATACTCGGTATCATTTTAAATCTAATTCCAGTGCAGTGGAAACTTTGGATTGACATTTACTTGGAACCATTCTCAGTTTGATAGTATTTATCTTATAGCGCTTATGCCATTTAGGATCTCTTATTACAGTCAATTCAATGGGAACATGTGTCTCTTCATGCATGAATTATGATTGATGAATTATACCTTGATTCGCCTTTACCCGTGTAGGCATTGTGTTGCTGTGTATGTTTTTTGCATGATAAGCTGACCATATATTAGTGTCTCAGGATGCTAGGCAAAGGCCCGATGCGAAGACTTTACTTTCACACCCTTGGTTGCAGAACTCGAGGCGTGCTTTGCAGTCCTCTCTTCGTCATAGTGGAACACTAAGGCATATTTTTCCGCTTGAACTCTCTTATTAGCGCTCTTGTTTTGTAGATTTAGTTCATCATTTCATCATAAAACAGTGGAAAACCAATTTTATCTAGAGTTGTTCATGTTTTTTTAGATATGCAGTTTATGCTGGCAGACACTTTTTTCATTGTACTCCGTAGTTTATTACTTCTGTTAATATTTGTCATTTCTATTACTAGCACTTTTTAAAAGTGGATGGTTGTTTACCTGATGCCTTGCAGAAATATAGAGGAAGATGAGTCAGTAGATGTGGAATTATCAAATCACAGCACCGCTGAGAGCACTTCTACTGACAATGCAAAGGTATTTTCAACTGTGCTTCAGCTTTTTTATGACTTGGTCATATTTACCTAGCTGCAATGTGGCAGTATGGTAGGTAATACATCTTTAATTGCAGGATCCTGAGTTAGTGTTGCCTTCTATGCGGGCTGCTGAGGTTAACAATTTGGTTGAAACAGCATTTTCTTGCGGTGACCATGTTAAGGGAAAAGTAGATAACATTCAAGATGATGTTATGTCAGATCAAGTTCCCACTCTAGCTATTCATGAGAAATCTCCTCTACAGAGCGGCTCTATTAGTTTTGCTGGTAATCATGAGGCGATTCCTTCAAGTTCAACAGATTTTCATGAGCAAGAAAATGTGTATCAAAATGCCAACCCAGATCCCTCTGAATCTAGGGCAGAAAATGGAGGATCGAAAAAAGTTGAGGAAAGGTGGCATGCTTTGCATGTTGATCATGGATCATTTGGTTTTAAACCAAATAACCATGGTCATAACTCTCAAAAGGTCAACAAACAAAACCACCCATTTCTTCCCTCTTGATGTTGAATTTTTTTACTAATATAAAGGAAACTGAAGTTATTTGAGCTGAGGTCTTTTGGAATCATCCTCTCTACCCTATATGTAGGACTAAGGTCTGGGAGATCCCACCGTGGACTTCCCTGGGTTTTTGTTGAAAGAAAAATCAGGAGTCTTTCGAGTTTCAAAACCATAGGTCTCTAATCAAAAGGCAATATACTCTCTCTGTAACTTCATTTTCACTATTCACATAGTCAAACTATATCTTCTTTCTTTACTTAATAACTCTATGGATTTGTTAGAATAACATGATAGAGCACAGTGGCTCGTGTGATCCATGTGGCTGATCACATCTAGTGGGATTTAAGGCTCTGTTATTGTTGTTGTTAGAATAACCTTATTATGTCACCTTTATTTTAAATAACTTTTTATTTAGTTTTAAGATATGTAATTTTTTTTCCCTAAAATTTACACCAATTTTCAAATTAATTTTTATCAATAAAATTCATTTGCTATACTACATTATTTTCCTTGTAGTTAAGGAATTCTTTGAACCTTTGGCATGTTAGTTTTTATTTGAGCTCCAATTTTAATATAAGCATCATCTATGAGATATTTGGAATATCCATCCTTGGTCTACATTTTACAAATTCCCTAGCTTAATATCATGTCCATTGCCAATAGAGCTAAAAGACTTTGACAATGTTTTATCTTCGGGTGAATAATGGACTAAGGCCTTGTTTGCAGCATTTTCAATTAGTCTTTGCGTTTTGGACACTTTTTTAATGGTGCATGATAAGTTTGAAAGTGCTAAAGCTAAAGAACGTCGTTAGATAGACTTTCGAAAAACTAAAGCTAAGCGCTGAAGTGGTTGCCAAACAGCTCCCTAAATCAAAATGGCACACTACACATCCCTTGCTTCGTACCTTCTATGAAGTTTTGGGCAGTAAATGCATCTAATGCACCCAGGGTCTAATAGAAAAAAGGGTAAGGTTGCGCATATCTTGACACCCTAGTCCCCAATAGAGTTGGGATTATACTGGGTTTGTTGTGGCAGTCGTTGTTGAAATTACCTGACTTAATATAAATGCCCTCCTATTATACCTCATTTGCCAAGTATTTTCTTTTCATCAATGAAATTCATTGTTCATATGCTCACTCCGTCTAATATACGCAGTCCTCTTAGTCTATTACCCAAATGCACAAGTTTTTAGTTTTAGTGTGGTACTACTTGTGGAAATCACCAAACATAGCAATATTTTAAAAATCCATGATTTAACTAAATTTAATATGTTTAACCTTTTTGACATCTTTTTTATTAAAAAAACTTTGGAATTATCAATTTGCGTGTTTTCTTCAAATTGGACCTTTTTTGGGACAAAAAATGTTGAGAAATACTTCTTGTACCTCATTATAGTGCATATTGTGTCCTTTTCTGTTGAACTCTTCCTTTTATCAAGAATTTTATTGCCCCACTTTTTCCTTTATACTTTTCTTTTGCTGATTATGCAGTTCAGTTCTTTTGAAACTATTTCATTGGCTTTAGCATTTGGGTTTATTTGACGCTTTCATGCTGCAGGCAATGAAGGTGTTGGTGAACTCCGGAGGCAATGAATTGAGCAGATTTAGTGACCCTCCCGCCGATGCCTCATTGGATGATTTATTTCATCCCCTAGAGAAAACTCTGGAGAATCAGGCTGCTGAAGCATCTTCTGCATTCTCTTCACATATGAATCAAGGCAACACATTCCCTGACTCTGGGAAAAACAACCTGGCTACGAAATTACGAGCTACAATTGCTCAAAAGAAAATGGAGAACGAATCGGGACAAGGAAATGGTGGAGATTTACTTCGTCTTGTGATGGGTGCTGTGAAGGAAGATGTAATTGACATAGATGGTTTGGTAAGCCTATATTTTTGTTGCGGCTTGGTTGACATCTCTTGATATATTGATATGTGGCTCTTGTTTCCAGGGATTTGACGATAAATTGCTTGCAGAAAATCTGTTTCATCTTCAGGTAGTATTTCTTTTCTTCAACTTCTGTAGTTTGTTACTAAATGCAAAGCATTCTTAGTGAATTACAAGAAAGTTCGCGAACTTTTTTTCTGCTAGGCTGTCGAATTTAGCAAGCTAGTCTCGTCTTTAAGACCAGATGAACCAGACGACATTATTGTGTCAGCATGTCGGAAGTTGATGGTTTTCTTTCATCAGCGGCCCGAGCAGATAGTTGTTTTTGTAACTCAGCATGGCTTGCTTCCTCTTATGGAATTATTAGAGGTTCCCAGAATTCGTGTATGTATTCTGTATGACGCTATATGTAATGCTTTATTATTCTGTTTGTTTATTTGATGAACCAATTGTTTGATTGATTGTGTTTTTCTTATTTTGAATATTTCACATATTTCAGGTCATATGCTCAGTATTGCAAGTTTTAAACCTGATAATAAAAGACAATACAGACTTCCAAGAAAATGCCTGTCTTCTGGGCCTTGTAAGTAGCTCTTCACTTCCTTGTATGTACTGCTGTAGTGATTAGTCAATGCCTCTAATCATGACATTTTATCTAGTAACAAAGAGTTTAGTCTATAAACAGTCACTCTGCTACACTTGCTTGATAGCTATGGTTGCCTAATCCTTTTTTTATTTGTGCTTTTTAAAGTCATTAAACTGATCATGATTTTTGTTTGTAGATAGAAGGAATTGTACTTAGGAATCTATGTTTAGACCTTACAATCATACAAGATATACATATGCATCTAAAGCAGATCATTGCATATTCAGTCTGCTCAAGGCCGGCTTTATGCAAGTCTAAGTGCATCTCCAATGGGAGCACCCCTCATAGGGTGCTGCACACATTTTTATCTATTTACCAACATGCTATTCTTAACAATGTTATTCACATTTTCTTTTGCTGAAAAAGTTGTGTGGTTAACATTGATTATTTCCTTTCTACACCAATCTCAACCACAACATTCGTTTAAAATTTGTGTGTAAAAAGCAAATGGAATGAACTGATGAACAATTGTGGACAGAGAGAATATATTGCTAAATATATGAAATAATCTATAAGCAATCATTATTGGTAACTTAATATCCAATTCTTGACTATTTTGGTATCAATGAAATGAAGCTAGTAACTTAAATTCATGTGGAAATAGTCCAATGACAGAGTTTTACGTTAGATGACCTTATGTCAACCTTCTTACAAAGGATAGTAAAATGAGTTTTCAAAACAATGATCATCATACGAAGTACAGTAGCTTTTATTTACCCTTGGAAAGAAAATAACATGAGAAAATGATGAGGTGAGAAGTTTGATATCGTCATATGCCATTACAAATTTACGAGGTAATAATTTAATATATTAAGATTGACATGCACATCATGTCACATTTGCTTTATTTGAAATTAACACTCTTACTTCTTTCTAAGTAGCTAGAAATCTAATATAGTAATATGATGAAGATATTGATACTCATGCTGGGAACTTAAGAGCCCTTAGTTTAGTTAGAGAGATATCCATAAATAAGTGCAGCTGATATGACTTTACAGATCCTCCTTGCTCATAAATACATACTCTTGTAGCAATTCTTCTATTTTTAGGCTTAAGCTCTAGCTCTCTAGTAGTCCGTAGATCTTACTATCTTAGTTTTATTCTGCATGCTTCTTTCTTTCTGGCTTCTGGTGGTGCTATCCCCATTAGAACATTCAACTCTGTTATTTTCTAACAAGAGTCTAAGATGATTAAGTTCATGTTTCTATGAGCTCATTCAGCTCTTTACCCAAAGGTGTGTTCGTAAAAAAAGCATTTATAATTATAAATAACCTGATTAATAAGCTGAGGGTTTTTCATGGAGCTTATTGAAAGCAACTTCTCTGAATGCACTATATTGGTATGGAGATTGGAGAAAAAACATTTTCTTGTTTCAGCTCCCATCTGATTTTTTATATTGCCTTATTAGTTAATCTGAACTGAAAGAAGAGAGAATCTCTCCATGTTAAAAAGATTAATAGATTCTCGTGATTGAGGTTCTAAGCTTTGCAATGCCATCTTATATGTCTGGTCTTCTTTGCCAAAAGGTGGAGTGAAACAATAACAGTTAGTAAATGATTTATATTTATTGATGATATGCATTGCCATTTATCAAGCTTCTGTTTCTCTTACATGCTAGATTCCTGTTGTGATGAGCTTTGCTGCACCTGATCGTCCACGGGAAATTCGCATAGAAGCAGCATATTTTTTTCAGCAACTTTGTCAATCGAGGTATGGAATTTGTGTCTTCCATCTTGTATTCATGGCATTAATCATGCTGTTTTAGAATCTAAAGATGATGGTGATGGTGCAGCTCTTTGACTCTGCAAATGTTTATTGCTAATCGGGGCATACCTGTTCTTGTTGGCTTTCTAGAGGCTGATTATGCAAAATACAGGTTGGTCTTCATGGTTTATATACTTGGATGAATTACTTTGTTTTTGGTTTTTAATCTTGAGTTCTCATGGTTTATATAAGCATGCATATATCAAATTACTCCCTCCGTCCAAAAATTTCTTTCCCGGTTTCACTTAGCACAGAGATTAAGAAAAGTTAAAAAGTGTAAAGACTTTTCATGTATTGCCCTTGGTGTGATGGAATAAAGTGAATAGTGTAGATAAAAAGTGGGGGTAAAATGGCACATTCATTAAAGTTTTTTGCCAAAATAGGAAACGGGAAAGAATTTTTTGGACGGCCCAAAAAGGAAAGTGAGAAAGAAATTAATGGACGGAAGGAGTATTATTTAAAATATCCTGCCTCTGCTTGTGCTATAACATTTTGTTCTTTTTCCGAATAATTTTATCTCTACCTACACAGGACATGACCCATGATAGGGGAGTTTGGAGGTTGAATTAAAGTAGGGTAGTTTTTCTTGGACTCGGATTATAAGAGTAAGTTGGATGTAGGAGGGAACCTTGGCGAGTCTACTGAGTGTGTTGATATGTACTCACTTTTTTCCTGTTGTATATGGTTATGCGACGCCATGCAACCTACACTGCAAGTCGATACTTTGGTTCTAGGATTTTCCAAGACATGCAAAGTGTAACTTTCACACTTCTACGTGACCCCCCGTAGCAACGTGAAAAGGGTGATTTTAATAAGTAATTAAGATGAGTAATTTGTCACAACTATTTAATAAACTCACAAGTGTTTCTGAAACTCTCACAAGTTTCACAACCACAAGGGTCAAGAGAAAACAGTCAATATTTCATTCAAATTCAAGATGTGTTACAATGGAAATCAAGTGCTTATGAGGCTAAGCACCCACTAAATTCTGAAGTAATTAAAAATTAAAATTAAAAATATCAAAATGAACTTTTTCGAAACATATTTGACTGATCTTCAACTTGTGTTTTCATTTTTCAAATCTCCAAGTCTTGACAAGCTTAATGCCTTAATCACATGAAGATCACATAAAACATCCATCTGTGTTCCTTAATGATGATGGTATTTACCTTGGTAAAATCTTCATAAAATAATTTGTGAAAATCTTCCTTGGGGTCTAGGAGCTTAAGATGCACGTGGTCTTACTCATGTAAAAATAGAGATGTTGTTTCTGTTAGACCCTAGATGCATTGTTGCTTTTACTCCCCAAAACCTCTTAGCAATCAGCAAGTAAGAAGCAAGAGAAGTTTAATGTGCCATTTTGATTTATTCCATTATGTGCCTGAAACTAAAAGATTTTCAATGATTACTCTTTTAACTCCCATGGCAACGGAAGGAATATGAATGCTGACTAAATAATGTATAGGGAGGTGATAGCCACACCCCACCATTTTACTATATTCAGTACACCTACTAAATTCATCCCGCCTTTTTGGAATTCTTAAAAACCCGCC